ATTAATGTGTGGGCTTGTTGATTGTAAGGTTTATGTGCTCAGTTTTGAGTGAATTTATTGATGGACATATTTTTGAACTTATTGGTTGGAATACTTTGTATTTTAAAAAATTGCTCATAAATGATGTAAACTAAGTTTTGCTGATAGTATACACTACCGCAAACGTTCTTTAGCAATATCGGCATCCACCAACCACATTATTCACAGCACTATTTATAGTTTCCAATAGTAGTACTATAGATAGTTTTTTTTTTTTGCTATCAATAGCTAAAACCAAATATCGATTTTTAGATAGTCAAAATTTCGATAGTTCTACATCACTACACTGGCGCCGTTCCCCATGGTATAACGCCAAGTGGTTCTTTTTTCTGTACATCAAACAGAAACAGACAAGAAGCGCTTCGTTAATTGTTGTAATGCACGAAAAGTTGTTTTCTTTTTTTATTGCAACCGATTTTATTTCTAGTGATCAATTGTACTCTAGACTCTAGACTGACATCGAGATCACTTCAAAATGTCTCACTCCTGGCACATATGGTGTCGTACATTTACCTTAATTTCTCGATTATATTGCCCCGCTCTTGATAGTATTCATGTTTTAGACGCTCTTTAGCAGTGATATTTCACTCTGACGTATATTGCCATTCATATTAGAAGGTTGCACTTTCACAATACCAACACCCCTAGCTTGCCTCGGGAAGACGCATGGTAACCGAGATAACTCGCAAAAAGGAAATGTGGTTGGCGACGCCACCTTGAAATTGTCGCACTACTAATCTCTATGCGTGACGTTATGAATTTTGCACAGCATAATCTCTCAAACATACACTAAATTGAGACAATCAGGTCAAACTGATGAAGTATAATATGAAAACTCTAGCTCCGCTAATTTAACCGCTTCGGTTTAATAATCGATAAGAAAATGAACGTGAAAACATTTACTTTTAATTTTCGCTAAATTATTCGATGATGATGTCACCGATATCAAATTTGTGTTTTCTGTGTTATTGCTTTTTTGGCCCAACAAATTTTTCTGAAGCTTTTGAAGGGAACCTGCAACACTTTTCCAACTAATTATCTAATGGCTTCATTAATATAGTTTGTTGCCCCACGAATCGATATCCGCAAAAACGTATAGAATCCGTTTGAAATTCTGATGGTGATTGTTTAAAATAGTCAATGTATTCACCAAATGCCACCCTCTCCGAAAAAACAAATTGCAGCATATCCACGGAGTGAATGGTGGAGAGTGGGGCGAAGAATTCGTCCGTCCATTCGTTCTTGCTTCCGTCCGTACATGCGTCCGTCAGTGTGACCGTCCATGCGTCCATCAGCCCGTCCGTGCGTGCGTCCGTCCGTGCGTCCGTGCCTGCGTTCGTCCATGCAGCAGCCCCTGCGTCCATCCATGCATCTGTCTATGTGTCCGTTCGTCCATCTATTCAACACTCCAAGTACCACCATCTCGCATCTTTTCATCATATATTCCCTATATAGAAGCACCGCCATCCAGCGGACATTCAAAGGACTAAACGAGAGGTGGCACACGCACACTTTCTTACGGCTTGCGCTTCGGATCCCACCTTTAACCACCTCGAGTTCATGGTATATACTAGTTCACTGTATTCATGGCACTGCGGCCGAACGCTCGCTAAACCTTTCGAAAACCAAGGAGGTTACGCCCAGCGAGTATGACGTAGCAAACTTTTTCAGTCAGATAGTGCTCAATGTACATGCCAATGGCTGCTAATGGGAAATGAGAGGCGGAGAATTCGGCTTTTACTGTCTTACGGCTTGCGCTCCGTATCTACTTCCCATTTTTAACCACCTCGAGTTCATTCATGGTATATACAAGTTCATTGTATTCATGGCACTGCGGCTCAACGCTCGCTAAACCTTTCTAAAGCTAAGGAGGTTACACCCAGCGAGTATAACGTAGCAACCCTTTCTTGTCAGATAGTGCTCAATGTACATGCCAATGGCTGCTAATGGTGATCGCAGCCTGCGCGTTAACTAAAAGCCGAATGCTCCTGTCTCTCATTTCCAATTAGCAGCCATTGACATGTACATTGAGCACTATTTTTTATTGTTCAACAACGCACAGAAGAAGTCTCTCACCGGCACCACCTTGGAGGTCAAAACGTTATACTTGTTACATCCTACAGGGGCGAACGGGTGCCGCTATAAAAGCTTTGCAACAGTTTTTCAACTAATTACCGTATGGCTTCATTAATATAGTTTGCTGCCCCAGGAATCGACCTTCACAAAAACGTGTAGAATCCGTCAAGTAGGAGGTATCGCACGCTCCAAGCGCTTTCTCTCTCCTCTCGTACGAGTGAGCACGCTGGAAGCTATACTCACGGAGGGCAGCAGGCCCGTACCATGAAGGGGGGGGGGGGGGGGGAGTGGGGGGGGGGCATTCTTTTTTATGAAATTATGATGTTGATTTTTTTAAATAGTCAATGTCTTCACCAAATGCCACCCTCTCCGGAAAAAAAAAAAAAAACCCCTGGCTACGGCTCTGGAGGGCGGTGACAAGGAGGGAAGAAGACACTTTCGCAGAAATTTGGGTATATGGCACCATTCGCAGAAGAGAACACGATTTACAGCTGACCTTGAGAATTATAGTTATGAATAACAGGTTGCGTCTGCGCTATAATGTTTGGCTTTCGTGTTTTCGGGAACCTCGATTACCGACTGAAAGCGCTTTACGATTATGCTCAAAAAGTTTTTGAGACTGTTGGGTGAGTCGGTATATTCCATTATTAGGGAAGCTGTACGAAATAAACCTGGACAGGGGGTTCGTTTGTGACTCCGACCACGTTTGCACACGTGGTTTTCCTCATAATGAAGAGGTGTTGCAAGGCCCCAGATCTCCGATGATGACATCATGGATATCAAAGCGTCTTTTTATATTTTGACAATGACTTTGGCCTCACTTGCTCAGAGAAATTCTCTCAATCGAGGCCTCTTTAAGGTCAGTATAGTTTTATCTAGTAACCGCAGGCCTTTTGAGTCTATGGCTCCCTCAGTTGACCACGAATTCTTTCTACTCGAACAGGAACAACATGGGTCATAGCAGATGCCGTCAAAATCTGTAACGTCACGGTGACCGGTGCAAAAGCTTCGAGGTAGCGCTGCTGCCATTTGCATTGTTATTTACGCATTATTTCGCTCACCAGGTGTCTTCTCGCAGCATGTTTATGGTATCGTGAAAGAGAAAATTGACAATAAAAGAAAAATATTATGCTCTTTAGTGTACCTTTAAAAGAGTGTGGACTCTTTTCTACTTGTTTAAAACGTACCTAATGGCGGGCTAGTCGATAAGTCATTACCTCATATGGCACCGCACACTAGGTTTAACCACGAACATGCACACAAAAGGAAGCGCTGAACGATATTTATTACGAGGTAAAATAGCTTAAGCAGGCAACGCAAGCATTGGTCACACATGATGTACGCCTAGTGCAATGGTCAAAACCAAGAGAACCTTATCGCACGTCAAATTTTGTCATGAGCACCTTTTCTATCTTGTTTTATGACCAAGCATTCTGCACAGGGGAAACAGTGTTTTGCGCATTGCGAAAATACAATAGTACTATACTTACGCACCCTCAATCAAGCTAGAATATTCAATTAATCTGCCCATGAAACATTTTGGCACCTTTATTTGTCTCATGGCCATAGGTGTGCGCACGGGGGGATGGGTAATGGGAGGCAAAGCCAGCCCCTTGCATCGACAAAATAGGGAGGGTCGCGCTGTGACTCAGGGGGAGGGGGAGGGAGGGAGTAGACTTATGTGCAACCTTTAGGTACCTGAAGGTAGCATACACAGCAACTCTACAGTATACAGCATATACAGTAATCTTGGCATAAGGAGTGGGGCGCTGTGACGAACTTTCGCCCCCCTAAAGGGGAACTCTGTACACGCCTATGCTCATGGCCTTTATTTCCTTTGCAAAAACTGTGTACCATATAAACTTAGCAGAAACAGATCACACGACAACTACACAGAATGAACATGGACTGCTATCGCTCACAGTTTTGTGAAAGATATGTTTGTGCACTCATTGTAGTCAGGCCGCCAAAAATTAGAATTATATCGGTTTGCATACAACTGGAGATTCGCACATATTAAGTGTAGTTTAAGCATACTATCACAGGCAATATTTTATTAAAAGCCCTAACAGTTACAGAATTTTCGCATCGGCTAACTTTGTTATGAATGAGTGAACGAAGGGCAAAGACTAAGAAGTTCAATAAAAATGTGATCCACTTTGGAAGCCGAGTTTGTCGTCATTCCATGCATCTCATGTGGCTCACAATAAAGCGCTTCCTATAGGCCATAACAAGGCTAGCACTTCTCAAAACAAGGCTATAGTAAATGAACAAGGTCCAAAATAATATAATTAAACAGAAATAACCACCAAGTGATTGCAAGGATTGACTGAAAAGTCACTAAAAACGCTTTAGAAACCTACAGCTTACTCTGGGTCCATGCAAAGAGGGTGCCATCATCTTGCTGAAAGAAGTGAAAACGCCACGGTATCGAGACTTTTTTCTTGCGTCTGTCTTCACACATTGTCTTTTAGAATGAGTACTTACTAGCTAGTTCAGGTCTGTTATTCTAGACACTATTTTCTGGATGCAACAACTCTTTAATGTTGAAATTTGAAAATTCAAATGTGGCTTATTAAAATTGCAGTGCTTCCGAAACTGTATAAATGGAATCCTGTATTTCCCATGAATATTTTATTTTATGTAGCAAATTCGAATGTTTATCTGATCGACACACATAAGAACAGCACATTGCTGCCAATGTCCCTGAAACATTTTTAACATGCACAAATGCACTGAGGGGTGCACATGAAGCCTAAATGTAGGTTATACTTTTACTAATCCTTTGTTACATAAAACTAAAGAAAAAGTGAAATATGCTATCACAATACCAAGCTATGGTCAACTTTAATGATGCCTTTGAAAGAAAAACTTGCACCTTGAACTCAATGCTTACAACGGTCAATTTATTACACCAACAGCTCAGCTCTTAATACAATCAACGATCATGCTATGGCTAAAACTACAAACACCAAACAAACTAACAAAAATCAAAACATCCACACAGCAATGACACTCAACACTGCTGCTGCTTTTATAATATCTGCAGACATGTATTTGCTCTCACCTCAGAGGATAATGCGAACAGATAAAAGAATACTTCATTTTTATAACAATGGTATCAAAATTATGCATGATTCATGGAATGCAGATATAAAAGGACATTCCCAATTAAAAGGGGGTTATAATATAGCTTTGTCACACTTCGTCATCTCATCCTAAACAAAAACAAATACAACTATTTTTATTATCGTATCACCATAGGTTTGCAATACATCAATACTTGTTATTAGTAAGCCATACGCAATTATTTTTTTTCAAGCAGTCAGTATTCTTTTAATGACAAGCTTCACAGCTGCACACATGGGAGTTCACAGAGACTCCACTGCGGTATCTTAGTTTTTGTTTTGATAGAGACGAAAGTTAAGTAGCGTCGTACACTAATTCTATGATATTGCGCATCAAGAACAAATATGGTGCGTAACAAGTGCACAAAATAACGCTTATAAAAAAAATATATGCATGTCCTCTTCCACTCCCAAGAAAAGCACGAGAACTGACTAACCAAGTGGCCTAGAAACTCGTAGAAAGCTATAACCGAAGAAATCTGGTATATCCAGAATGAAACTAGTTGGGGACGTAAGCCACACACAACTCTGCTGTCCTTCAGCCTAGGTAGGGCGTGGCTAGGATTGCGTCGAAGGTACGGGCAGCGTCTTGGCAACATCGGGGGGAATGTGATTCTTGAACCAGTCGTGCTGCTCCTTGAGGCAGGCGGCGAGGACACCGCCACTGTTGACATGCTCGACATCCTTGTGGTACTGTAGCCGGTTGCCGTGGATATCTAGAAGTACGCACAAGCATTCACGTGAAAACTCCTGTAGTTAGGGGCACCCTTACGGACAAAGTTTGTTCTGATGTGCAAAGCAGGACATTATACAAATCAGTACATTAGTTGTGAGTGTGACTACACGCCTGAGGGAACCAATTCAATGAGGGTAGAAATTCACAGACATTGCAGGCCTCCGTGAAAAAAATAAAAAATAAAAGCTGGAATAGTGCCATGTTGCAGGACGTGACAAGAGAAACAAAAGAATGAAGTCTAGTTATCGTTAACTTGTTTGTATTTCATTTTCCTAAGATTGTACAGTTACATGCACTACAAGTATTCAATTATTCAATTCTCTAACTTCAAATTATTCTACAGTGAACGAACTTTACCAATATTTTCATTTCAATGAAACTGCTGCATATACTATGCTTGAACTTGAAGAATATGCACACAAGATGTCTAATAATGCGACAAAATATTACTGACATATGAAACCTTCCCTCAGCACGAATGTGGTGCCAGTGTCGCACAGTGTACTTCTTTTTGCAATCAAGTTCTTCCAATGTCATTGGCACCTTTGTACAGCTTGCAAAAATGAACCGACTGTGAGCAAGATAGTCTATCCAATTTAGGCTCAATCATGACCGAAAACGTGCCATATGACGTCTTTACGACCTAGTCAGCATATATCGAAATCACACGAAAACAAGAATTAGTTCGATATATCGGATAATTCAATATACAACTTTTAGTGAAATTATTGCACTTGCGATATGACTTTCGGAGTGCAAGTAGGCTTCATGGAACTGCCTCATGTTTATGTAAGAAATGCTCTTTTATGGCAACAAGCCGTTAATATTTTTCTAGTGATTTTATATTTTTCCATGGTCTGCAGTTGTAGATGCAGGGTTATATGCGCAAATGGGTGATATGGAAAAAAAAGCGCCAAGCCTGCACAGAATGCGCAGCACAGTCACAGCGAAAGCTAGAAGAGCGGCCTTTCAGAGCCTTTTCAAAACACTCATTGGGTAACTGTTGCAGAGCAAACTTGCTTGAATACCACTACGGTATTAATTAATTATAAAAATTTTTGGGCAGTAGGCCGGCATTCTCTACGCTATTTTTCGTCATTCTTCTGAGAAGCGTGGTATCTCCTAAACACTTGCAAAGGAATTTTGTGCCAATTGTTCATGCAGTGGCTGACAACGATGAGGAATTATGCCTGAAGTGGGCATGTGCCACAGTTCATCATAAAACAAGAACAAGCTTTTGTAATGGGTTGAAACATTGGACGACCTACTCGTTACACGATTCACATTGTGCGATGACTGGTTGTTCTTTTCGCTTTTTTTAAATGCTTTATAAGACGTAATAACGCGATTGCTTTCCCGACAACAAGACTATCTAAGGCAAGTTTGCCAACAAGTCCCAAGCACCGGAATGGCTCAGTGGTAGAATACTGGGCTGGCACCCGGCGGACCCATGTTCGAGCCCCACTGTGTCATTTGTGCTAGGTTTTTTTTCTTTTTATTTCGTGTGACAGTGGTTATGGACACCGGCGGCGGCGGACAACTACGGCGCTGCCGCGAGACCCGAGTTGTGATCTCATTACAGCTTTCACTGTAAAATATGTTATCTATGTGAGTACTAGTGCCTCAAAGTCCTCATACGAAGCTGTGCATATTCGTCGGGTGCACGAAGCGTCAAGTCTGCATTAGATCTAATGTCAGCCTTGTTTTTTTTTTCAATATCATACTCAATGTGGTTTTTGGAATGGTGAATGCAGCGGAAGCAAAAGGCTTATTCTCCCCATGTTCAAATGTGTTTATTAATGCCAGCTTCTCAAGACGCGGCAAGTTCTTATTAGTTACTCCATCCATTATGTTGGAAAAAGGAACGGAGAAGCAAAATATCTCGAGAGATACAGTGAACACTCACTTGTACGAATGTTGGTTTAACGAATAATTCAGAATAACAAACTTGGATAACCCTCAGAGGTTTTTCTGTGCATTCCATACAAAAAACTGTCAGTTAAACAGATTTCTGAATTGTGAATATTTCAGCTGAACAAACTTGATTTGTGGACCCCTGCTCAGTTTTGAGATGATTTCAATGAAGCTTTGGCAGATCGGCTGTGCGGGAGACGAAAAGCAAGCCATGTGCACTTCAGTGCCTGCACAGAGATATCAGATATTGAAATCATCATTCTTAGTGCTTGCATGAAACAGAAAGATGAAGAGTGTAACGAGGCAGTTGTAATAGGTGAGGCAGGTTCAATTCCTGTATTTCCAGCCGAAGCTCTAGGATATGTGTGTAAGAAAGTTATGAAACTTTATGTCTCAGTAACAAGCTGTACCAAAGGCAATGCACAGAAACATAGACTCTAGCATCTGTCCCTGTCTTATTTGCACATACTACCAGTTTTTCTTTGAAGTAGACTCTCTTGACAGCTTTGTCTCTTCTTGCCCTTTAAGTTTCGTTTACATGCACACCTGTCAAGAGTCCTCCAGTGGCATGGAGGATTGCCTCCGGAGCGCAGGTGTCCCACTTCTTGCATCCCTTGCTTGGGAAGACGTAGGCGTGTGCCTTGCCTTCAATCAAAAGCAGCACCTGGGAGAGCCGAAGCAGTGTTTAGCAAATCAAAATGTGCAACTAAGAAATCACCCATCAACACCAATAAAATGTTGAAGAAAACTTTCAGGCACAAAATAAATATTTTAGTGCTACCAAAATAAATGATAGCTGGCCTGGCAATTGTTGAATTGAATTGTTTATTCACAACAAGTTGCGAGGATGACCAGGCAAAAAAGCTGCATTGAGCAGCTTGAGGGGAACCTGGCCACCTCATACACTGGGCAGCTTCACAGCGGTCACACAAAAACATGGTATACATCATGAATGAACTAACTTAAATAAACACAAAAACAGTAAACATCCATGGTCGGAATAAATAAACAAGGTCATTATAGAAACATTTGAAAAAAAAAGGAAAAAAATAAGCGAAGTACTAAAGACAGAGAAAAGGACAAACAAATAAGCCCTTAGCAGCACAAGCAATCACATAAATACGTCGCGTAGCTTTTTTAGCGACAGAGTTGATACACTGAGACCATTTTCTTTGTGTAGTTGATTTAGCACAGTAGGTAAACAGGATTGTAGCATTTGGTCACCGTATGTAGTTCTGTTTTTGTTAACAATCCAAGGCTCGGAATGACGAAACTTATAAAAAGAATTATGTTGCTGTAAGGATGACAATTTCGTTAAAGCGTTATCATTCTTAATTTTTTCCATTCTATACATGCGACATAGCCTATATGTGTACAAAAATTCAATTCTTATTGTTCTAAGCTTTGTAAACAAAGCAGCAATATGCCAAAGATATGGCACCCTGCAGACAAGGCGTATTGATCTTTTTTGTAATACTACCAGCTTGTGAATGTTTTCAGCTGAAGTCGTCCCCCATACTAGAATTCCGTATTGAACTAGGGAAAGAAACATTGAATTATACAACATCATATTAATAGATGTAGGAAGATAGTTACAATGGCGACGCATAGTACTTATTGCTCTAGATAATTTACTAACTAAGTGATTCACTTGGCAATCCCACGACATCGTAGCAGAGAAATATACGCCAAGCGATTTGAAAGACGATAGTATTTCTATTTCAGTATTATTTAATTTAATGGGGATTAGTTGAAATTGTTTGTTACGTGGATGAAACATCACTGCCTTTGTTTTTTCTACATTAATCTTAAGATAATTACTTGTAGCCCACTTTTGTATACTTGCAAGCATCTTATTGGCTCGATTTGACATTTCAGCACCTAAGTCACCGTCAAAAAACAGACTTGTGTCGTCTGCGTATATTACGCACTTAACAGAGGAATATAACAATGACACAAAAGATACCTTTGAAGTATGTACTTCATGAGGGCCACTTAGTAAAGCATTTTGAAAGAAAAGGCACAAATTTCAGACCACCACACGATGCTCGTTTTTCAGGCACTTGTCTTGTGTTACTTTCATGGGTGTCCAGAATTTGTGCCTTCCCTTTCAAAATGACCCAAAAGTGTGCACTGCACGCAATACGAGATAAAAATCTGGCTGAGGTAAATCAAAGTTAACTATTCCAACAACCTCACCTTCCACAAAAAAGTTTTAATGATACTTTCATCAACCTTTTTCTTTTTGTGAATTATAACTAAAAAGTGTGAGCCCATAAATGCCAGAAAAATGAAGGCGACACCCACACTCAGTATTGCTACACTGCTGTACAGGTGAACTGCAATGTTAAAAATTCAACTGCAAATTTTCTACCCCACTGAATGTGCTAAGAAATTTTTGTTCCTGTAGGGCACTTCACAGTTGAAAGATGCACTGACACGAAAATTTTTTTTAGGCAAATATACGGCCAAGCCTACAAGAGTCTATAAAATGTACTAGTAAGCATAAGTACACCCTGGAAAAAAAATTACAGCATGTTTCTAAAAGCTAGTTTTGGTTTTAATTGTACTCGGACATCACTACATAGTGAAAGTTTCTCGCCCAGTGGTTGTGAAAATTACCAGGGAATTTCAACGGTTGCTTCGCTCCAAGGTTTCATTAGTGATGTACAAGTGGCCATTTCGAGAGTTTCTGGGGATGCAGCAGCTGCCATTTTTACTTTTAATACCTGATGCCATCGCAAATACTAAAGCGCGAAGTCGCCAGAATTCACACTTTAACCTGATGTCACGATAGTGTCGACGTCACTAGGTGCACCATGTGGTTTATTAATACCTGGAGTTTTACATCCCAAAACCAAAATATAGTTATCAGAGACAGCGTAGTGGAGGGCCCCAGAAATTTCAACCATCTGGTGATCTTTAACGTGCACTGAAATTGCACTGTGCACAGGCCTCTAGCATTTCGTCTCCATTAAAATGCGAATGCCACAAATGGGATCAAACTTGAGACTTTCGAGTCAGCATCCGAGCACTTTAACCACTGCAGCTCCTAGGCAGACATGCACCCTCTGAAAATCTACTTTAATGTCGAAATAAAGCACCTTACTAGCATTTAGTGAGTTTCACATTTGCTCACAGCTGTCGCAGTACTTATATAAAATATTCGTATGGCAGAGTAAACTCACCTTCAATAACTGGTGTCAGTACCCTTTCAAGTGCATTATGTGCAACTGAAGCTGAAAGTTCTGGTTTCCTGCTCTTCCTACGCCACTGCGGAGGAACTGCTAAAGCTAGCACCTCGAACTGAACTCGAAAGACAAGCTAAAACAGGACGGAAAGCAAAAGACTAAATCATCGTTCACCTTGTGTCCCGCTCCACCAACACGAAGCACCTCATCCGGCTTCATGGACTCGATGCAGCTGTTGATGACCGGACTTGAGTGGGAACGAGTTGTGGTGATGATTCTCTTGTCAGCAGGGGGCGGCGTGCGCTTGATGCCAAACGCACCAACACCAACGATACCCCACATTGTCCGTCCTTGCTTGTAGACGTCTTTCTCCACCTTGAAGTACAAAGCAAAAACATCAAGATTACGCTGAATTGTCTGTCCTTGCTCTATTTTAGATGAAAAGAGTCATCACTTTACGTGCTACCAGTTGAAGTTTACACACAAAGCTGTACATGAAGAGTAGTGTAAAAGTACTGCATTAAAGGAGCCCAGCGATACTTTACGGATAGAATAGCCTCACTATTAGCACATGACACTTTACAAATTGCATGTGACTAAAATTCTTACAATCCGTCTAGTATGAGCGGAGCTACGCAGAATCTACCATGCTTCATGTGCCTTCTTTTTCCTTTTGTACCAGTGAGCGTACTGAAGGCTATGCAGATAGAGCGATGACAAGGGGACAATATGATGTGTTGTTTTGTCAGCCCACGTCATGAACTTGAGCACTTTCTTTTCTTTTCATTTCTTCAAATGCAAGACTTCCTTTAAATGTGGTTGTGAGCGCACATCCTTTCAGTGTGATTGTGAGCGCGCACGTGGTGGAATTGCGTGGTGAGTACAGTAACTATGAAGCTCACGATGCTCAAATGAGCGAACCGTCTGGACTTTTGGCATACGGCGCAGTAATTTGAGTGAATGGCATCATTTGCAGAGAGAAAATCGAGTGATTTTGAGAACCGATTGTTAATTCCAGGATGCATGCCGTACTAGAATATCTGGTTCACGTGTTTTCGGGAGCCTTGACTGACAGTCGGGCAGCATTTCTCTTTAAAAAGAATACTGCACAGCTGGTGATGCACAATCAGAACAAACATATACATGCAATGCATTCCAAAGAGGAAAGCACTCTGCGCACGATGCTACAGAGATGGAGTCCTGTAGTAATGGTGATAATTGTGGAACAAGCAAAACCTAAATGAGTAGGTATTTATGGCATCAATAAACTATTATATGGCATATACCTTTCGCGACAGAATGCTTAGGGACAAGCGCAAGCACGGTGCACAAAAACCATTGTGTAGGTCTTACTCTACTCCTACTTATTACAAGATAGCAAAAGTATAGCAAATTGCTGTGCACATCAAACAGTTGCAAATAGTACTCAATAAATTTTGCATATATATATTTTACATAGTTAATTACCTATAAATACAGAACTCTTTTGTGATCTCCTTCAGATTCGATACACCCGTGTTCTACTGTATATGTAGTCTAGTACATGAAAATGTAATGTGACACTGAGGCAGTACCTACAAGGGTCACTTTACATGCCTGAATATCTCGTGATGCAAAAAGCTAATGCAGAGCTCACAACAAAATGCAGGAGAACATATGGTCGACAGTGAGATGAAAAAAAAAAAAAAGACAAAGAAAGATAGAAAAGCGGATAGACCCGTGCGGTGGCTTCATGTTCCCTCGGGCACTGCAGCGATGGGACAGGTGCGGCCACAGTGGAAGAGACGAAAATAGAAAGATAGAAAAAAGGACACCACAAAAAGAGGACGTCAGACAGGAGCAGCTGCGTAGAGCAATGAGCAATAGAGAGACATGATGAAACTGGGGGGAAAAGGGGAAGCCGTGTGGGGTCTTGCCTGAATCCTCCTCACCTGGTAGTTGTAGTAAGGCTGATGAATGACACCACCAACTGCCTTACCATGCACAGCGATCCCAACCAGTATGGTCACGTGATCCAGGAAGCCTGCAGCGAAAGGGTTCAGGCAGTTTGAATCGGTCTAGTTGATATAAATCTACAGTGGTAGGCAGTGCGGCCCCTTCTAAAAACGTCCTTGCTGCGAGGTATCCCATCACGAACCTTATGGCAGAGCAGCACAATATTTGAAAGAGTGAAACATACACGAAATAATTACACTGTTCTGCCATAATGTTTGTGAACCAGCTAGCCCACTTAAGAACTCTTGCTCATAATGGCCAATAACCCAGTCCATGCGTAATATGAAAGTTTTTGTTTCAGATACTGTGGGTCACAAAGTTGTTTTTCGTTCACTAAAGCTTATTTTCCCATTGCATCATGTTTACCAAGGTTGGAATAAAAAGTACAAATTACGCCACCTACACTTCCCTCTACTACAGTTGACTGTGTCAGATGATGAAACAAGCTTCTCGATCCATCGACCTTTATTCGTTCATTTTAAAGTGAGCGCTGCCTTTCCAGGGACACAACTGTGAAAGACACTAAGGGGGTGTTACTAACAGAAAAGTACAAAAACAGTAAACCACAATAACCTCGAAGTAGCATTAAATTTTTCTACCTGACAAGAACATCAGTCAGAGTTATGGTCTAACTGATGCGTAGCTTAACAGCTAGCTAGTCAAAAATGTTGTTTTGCTGTGTCACTGTGGCAAAAAAAATTTTGCTTTGGCGCATCATCGCGTGCTAACTGCAGTATATATGTTGCCTTTGCCACAGAACGAGCCTCTCGGAAGCAAATTACATGCCAATGCAGCACGCTGGCTGTAATAGGCTTTGCTACAAACCTTGCTTGGCCGCCATGCTTCCATGAATATGCCATCTCTTTCACATAGGAGGAAGACCAGAGATTTGAAATGTGTACGGAGAAGGCAAGGGTAAATAGGCAGAATAAAAATTCCCAAACATCAACGCAACTTAGAGAGGCAAAGATAACATAAATGTATGATGCTGCACTCGGCACTCCAGTCCATCTGGCTGTGTGACCTCAATTCACTGCAACAAACTGTAAAAAGAAGACGTACTAAAAAGGAATAAAAAAGGCAGAAGCAAGAGCTTGCTTTTTTTTTGCTGCGTTTTTGCACAACAGAGAACACAACACCTGTGGATGTTTGAAAACCCAGAAACAATATCATCACGTCTTCATGCAGGAGCTTCACTAGGCCTTCTGTTAGCAAGTGCTCGCAGACGTTCAGTTGCAGGACCTCTCTGTCTGTAGCACTGAGTACCGCTGAAATCGTGTATTTACACATCATATGCTGCATGGGCCATGAATGTGACGAGCCAGGGAAAAGCCGAGAGCAGAACGACGGATTGTGGCGACCGCTGGAAGGGCGAGAAAAAAACGAAGGAGCTCGGGTGCAGAGAAGTTAAGAGGGCGCGCGCAGGCGAGACAGTTTTTTTTTTTTGGAAACGCCGGCAGATACGGCGCGGCAGGTGTTGGAGAACCCGCTCTACTGCGCGAGGTTCGAATACACAGGGCGCCTGTCTTCGGGACAGCGAGAGCCTCACGGTCCTAGCCTGGCAAGACCATGTGGACGCGGCCTGTGCTCTCGGAAAACCCGCACATACGCGCGAGGTTCCAGATTGCACCGCCGCGAGCCGACGAGGTGCAATGGTAATGGCTGGCGCGGCCTCCTGTATGGCTACCGGCTTCGACGCGAAGGTTCGTTCACTCGGCCCTTAAACCAGCCCACAGCCTCCTGGTCCCCAAGCACCGCCACGTGAGACAATTGACTAGTAGTGTACGCTGCCGCTTTATGTATTTCGTGTGTGTATGCTGTCAAATACAATTGTAGTGTGGTTTGTTAACGTCAGATACCGTCTCCTCCATCCGCAACGCGTCACACGCTCTGCGGCGCGACGAACCTCACCAACAAACATCACATCTGGCGTCCGCGCGACAGGACCGCTCTTATCCTATAAAAGAGCAGCGCGTCGCTTATGCGGGTCTGATGGTTGACGATGGAGACGGACAAGCTCACAGCAATTGGAAAGGAACTGGGGTTGAGCGGTCCAGGGCTAAAGCAGTGGATCGATGAGGAGCGCGTACGTGAACGAGAAGCGCGGAAGTACGTTTAGCCGAACGCAATGCGGCAAAAGAAGCTGATGCCGAGGCACTGGCGAGGCTACAAGCAGAAAAGGAGGTTCTCGAACTAAGGTTGAAGCTCCGAGAGTTAGATGCGACAACGGGTAGCGTGACTACAGGTCAATCAGTAGAGGGTCCGCACATGGGTTCTCCTCAAAGCTACGAAAGTCCGCACAAACTCATACCGCCCTTCAACGAAGTTCGCGACGAGCTGGACGCGTACATCCAGCGCTTTGAACGCGTCGCCAGGAGCCAGGATTGGCCGCAAGACAAGTGGGCCCTTTCACTGAGCCTTTGTTTGACAGGTGAAGCGCTAAGTGTTGTTGGCAGAATGGCACCTGACCATGCCATGGATTACGCAACGTTAAAGAAAACGTTGTTGCAGCGCTTCCGGTTTACAGAGGAGGGCTACCGCACTAAGTTTCGGTCGGCGAAGCCTGAGGACTGCGAAACGGGTCGACAGTTCGCTGGGCGATTACTAGGTTATTTCGACCATTGGCAAGAGATGGCCAAGACCGAACGGACGTACGAAGCTCTACGAGACGTTATTGTTTCAGAGCAATTCATCACGCAGTGCCACGAGAAGCTGGCAATCTTCCTGCGGGAAAGGGATTGCCGAGGAATTGAAAAGCTAGTAGAAGCTACTGATCATTATATGGAGGCGCAGGGTTTCGTCAACCTTGGTAAAGGTAAGGACGACAAGGACCATAAAAAGCCACCAGATCGAGCGCAGGCCGCACTACGGAAAGAGGAAAAGGACAAACCACATTGTTTGCTTTGCGGAAAGCGCGGTCATAAGGCCTCAGATTGCTGGGCAAATACTAAAGGGCCAAGGACAAAACCAGCCTTCTGCGGAAAATGTAGACGTAGTGGGCATAGCAAAGAGGACTGCCCTAACAAGGGAAGCGGTAAAGCCTCGTGCCTGAAAGAGCAAGCAGAAGGTCCGAAAGCATCAAACCAGGAGACACAGGCTTCCCGGCAAGGTACTGATTGCTCGAAACGTACGAGAATCAAGTGGGAGGACAAGTCTATGCCTACGGCCGAAGGCGTCCTTGAAAACCAGCCCGTTACGGTCTTACGGGATACAGGATGCGACTCGGTTATTGTGAGAAGGTCCCTTGTACCAGTCAGCAATCTGACGGGGAAAGTTTCCTCTGTGTGTCTTCTTGATCGAAGGGTACTGAAACTGCCGGAGGCAGACGTGCGAATTATTTCACCCTTTTTCTCAGGCAAGACTCGCGCGATCTGCATGGATGACCCACTGTATGACGTCGTTCTGGGAAACGTCCAAGGGGTCCGTGACGCCTCCGATCCTGATCAAGATTGGAAAAGACACCTACGTCCAGCTAGTCCGATGAAAATATCATCTAGGGTGGGAGCGGACGACGGATCGCTGACTGGATCTTATACTACAGATGCATTCACTTCGGTTGCGAGGCAATCAAAGGAAAACGAAGTCGCCGCGACAGTCGGACGGAGTTCTCGTCGCCTGCCGGTACCAACAATAAGTCCCCTAGATATGAGTGCACGTGACTTGCAGAAAAGTCAGAGGGATGACGCTAGCTTACAGAAATGCTTTGAGGCCGTCGATAAACCCATCCAGACCAGGTTTGCCGAGATTCTTTTCTTCACAAAAGAAGAAATTCTATACAGGAGGTACAAGCTCAGATCGAAGAGAGAAACTGAACAACTTGTTGTACCTACAGCCCTCCGCCATTGTGTAATGCAAATGGCTCATGAAGGAATTCTTGCGGGCCATCAGGGTATAAAACGCACAACAGACCGTATCCTCGAGGAGTTCTATTGGCCAGGGGTACTTTCTGACATCACACGATTTGTGAAATCGTGCGACACGTGCCAGAGAACTTTCCCAAAACACTTAGTTGGGCGAGTACCGTTGGGTAAAACCCCCGTCATTGATACACCGTTTAAGAGAGTGGCCATTGACATTGTGGGACCATTATCTCCCAAGTCAGAAAAAGGGAATAGATACGTTTTGACAATGGTGGACATGGCAACGCGGTATCCTGATGCGGTGGCGCTGCCAAGCATTGAAACAGAAAGGATCGCTGAAGCACTGTTGGAGATGTTCTCGCGAGTGGGGGTACCTCAGGAAATCATCAGCGACCGAGGCACGTCTTTTACGTCCCACCTAATGCGCGAATTCAGCAGGCTTCTATCCTTCACACAGTTGCCGACGACACCATATCATCCCATGGCAAATGGTCTTGTCGAGAGGTTCAATGGCACACTTAAACGAATGATAAGACGAATGTGTCAAGAGTGCCCGAAAAGTTGGGACCGGTACTTAGCGCCTTTACTTTTCGCCTATAGAGAAGTTCCGCAGTCAAGTTTGGGCTTCGCCCCGTTTGACTTACTGTATGGCCGTTACGTCAGAGGGCCCATGTCAATATTGAAAGAGATGTGGACTGGTAATCATCTAGATGATGAGACGAAGACCTCGTACGGCTATGTAGTTGACCTGCGGAGACGTCTTGAAAACACTTGTCGTCTAGCCAAGGAGGAGCTGCAGAAAGCCAAACTTGTGCAGAAGAAGCACTATGACATGAAGACTAGACCACGGCGTTTAGCTGTTGGAGACAAGGTGCTGCTGCTACTCCCGTCGGACAACAACAAACTGATTCTAACATGGAAAGGGCCTTTCACAGTTCTAGAGAGGAAGAATGACGTGGATTACGTTATTGATTTAGGAACGCGAACATCTCTGTTTCACGTCAACCTCCTCAAAAAATATCAAGAACGACCATCGGTACCACAGCCAACAAAAGAAGCGTCAGTCGCGTGTCTGGCTGATGATACTGAGCACGACGATCTACCATGCGTACCTTTTCAGCAAAAAGAATCTGCTGCCGATGTGAACATATCGGAAGCACTCTCTACTAAACAGCGCACGCAGATCGCTAGAATACTGCATACCTACGAGAATGTATTCACCGACATTCCCGGCAGAACACATCTCACCCAGTGCAAGTTGAATGTCGCAACGGATACACCAGTGAACATACGGCCGTATCCACTACCGTTTGCTACCAAAGAGGCAGTTCAACAAGAAATTAGAGACATGCTGAAGCAAGGCATCATCGAGCCATCTGAGTCTCCCTACCAGTCGCCGATAGTAGTTGTCAAGAAAAAAAGACGGGACAATACGTCTATGCATTGACTTCCGGCAACTCAACAAGATACTGCTGAACGACAATGAGCCCATACCTCGAGTTGATGTTATTTTTGGACAACTGGGGAAGGCACGATATTTTTCTAAGTTCGACTTTGCTAAAGGGTATTGGCAAGTCCCGATGCATGAAGAGTCCAAAGCAATGACAGCGTTTTCTACATCAGCAGGCCTTTATCAGTTTCGTTTCATGCCGTTTGGCATTAAAACCGCCCCAGCTGTCTTCAACCGTCTAATGAGGAAGGTGGTAGCAGATATACCCCATATTTACTTTTACTTCGACGATGTGCTCGTTGCAACCGAGACGTGGACAGAACACGTGGCCACACTTGAAGCCTTTCTTCAACGAGTTAGCGAATCCGGGTTGACGATTCGACCAACGAAAAGTGAGATTGGTCAGCGGTCAGTAAAGTTCCTCGGTCATCACGTCGAAAATGGCATCATCAAACCCCAGATCGAAACCCTTGATAAAATACGGGCAGCCAAGCGCCCACAGACGAAAAAAGAAGTACGCTCTTTCCTTGGACTTACGGGCTATTACAGAGATTTCGTCCACAAGTACTCCGAGATAGCAGGACCATTAACTGAACTGACTAAAAAGAGAGCCCCTAACAAAGTAATTTGGGGAGTGCAGGAACAGAAAGCCTTCAATGCACTCAAGACCATGCTGTCTACACAACCTGTCTTGAGAGCACCCGATTTCGCTCAGCCTTTTGTACTTCGCACCGACGCCTCGTCAACAAGCGTAGGTGCCATACTTATGCAGCGGCATGGTGCTATGCTACACCCAGTGTCGTACGCTAGCCGACGACTGCAACCACGAGAAACTGCCTATTCGACAATCGAGCGCGAAGCCCTGGCACTCACGTGGGCCATCCAGAAATTTCATATTTACTTGTTCGGGCGAACGTTCATACTACAAAGCAACCACAAGCCTCTCGTTTACATCAACTCCGCCAAACACATCAACAGCCGTGTTCTACGTTGGAGCCTCATACTCATGGAGTACGACTTCAGCGTTGAATATATAAAAGGCAGTGAGAATGTAGGAGCAGACTATATGAGCCGGTTGCCAAGCGCATGAACATCATCGCTACACGGCTTGAGGATTTCGCAGTGTCGGGTATAATTGATGGAATTTTTTTTTTCGGTGCACATTACTTACCGTGACGGACCAACTTTCATCTCGTCTTGCGAGTACCTTTGAGAGTGTCGGGTGTGCGGGGCCCTGAACACTGGTGACAACTTTTGTGTCTCTTATGTGTGCCGAGTGTGCGGGGCTCGGAAGTGTAGTGCAGTGCTCCGAGTGCGCGTGTACTACGGTGTCCCAAGGGATCCAGTGGCAGCTGCAAGTTCTTCACAGCGAAGAACCTTCTTAAGTGGGGGGGTAATGTGACGAAGCAGGGAAAGCGAGAGCAGACGACGGAGTGGCCGATCGCTGGAAGGCGAGAAAAACGAAGGAGCTCGGGCTGCAGAGAAGATTAAGAAGGGCGCGCGCAGGCGAGACAGTTTTTTTTTTTTTTGGAACGCCGGCAGAACGGGCGGCAGGTTGTTGGAGAACCCGCATCTACGCGCGAGGTTCGCATACACAGGGCGCCTGTCTTCGGGACAGCGAGCGCCTCACGGTCCTCGCCTGGCAAGACCTGGGACGCGGCCTGCTGCTCTCGGAGAACCCGCACCTACGCGCGAGGTTCCAGATTGCCCACCGCCGTCGAGACGAGCGTCGCAAGGTCCTGGCCTGGCGCGGACGAGCCCTGTCTGGCTACCGGCTACCGAGCGACGGTTCGTTCACTCGGCCCTTAACCCCTGCTGCTGCTACGTTGTTGCCACACCGGACATCTACCCGACGACGATTACGTCATCACAGGGACTCAACCAGCCCACAGCCTCCTGGTCCCCAAGCACCGCCACGTGAGACAATTGACTAGTAGTGTACGCTGCCGCTTTATGTATTTCGTGTGTGTATGCTGTCAAATACAATTGTAGTGTGGTTTGTTAACGTCAGATACCGTCTCCTCCATCCGCAACGCGTCACACGCTCTGCGGCGCGACGAACCTCACCAACAAACATCACAATGAAATAGTGGAAAAGTTTCGCAATGAATACTGCTGTAGCTTCAGTTCTCCGATACTATTTTGAGTTATGATTTTATGAAATAGATATGTGAATCGAAGATAATAGCTATGCAAGGTCACTTCGTCACATGCACCAAAGCTCATGACAATACCTCAATGGTACGCACTTCACAAGAGACAGTTGGTTTAATGAACGAAAAACAGTACAGAGAACAGAAATATAGTAAGAAAACCAGCAGGTTAATTAAAGGTAAACCCAGAACAGTTTGTTTTTCTTTTTAATGATTACAGACAGATAAGTTTAGTACAACCAGAATAGCATGAGTCATCTTACAGAGACTAGTGGTGTCTTAAGTGAGGCCCATCAAAGCAGTAAATTTAGTGCTACCAATGACCAACTGACCTTGCGTGTACTCCTTTGTCCCATCCAAGGGGTCCACCCAAACCACAAGCTGAAAAAAAAAAAAAAAAGTTGATTGGCTGCTTACCACTGCCTATGTGCAAGCACAACCTTAAAGATTGTTTACAAGTAACCAACCATGGCACGGAAGAAACGTTTAGTTATTTAGCCTTGGGTTAGGCCCCTGTTCAATTCAGTAGCTCATTTTAGAGCAAAAAAATTGTGAACCACGACATCACACTCTTTGCTTGCTTCATTACAACTTTCTTTCCTGTCGGAACAATTCCCCTCTGCAAAATTCATGTTCAAAAGCTTGGTACAACTCGAGTTGAATTCGAGAGTTCCTGTGCCCACATAGTCGTACGTGCATGAACGCACTTCTCACCCTGTATTCCCCATTTTGTATTAACTAAATAACAATGACATTATTTGAACACCAAGCATCTCACCACCATTTTTTTTTTTTTTCCCCAAGAGAGGGTAGCGCATGTTTTCTTTGAATAAAAATATGTCTAGAGTCGAACCTCCTGGCAACACGAGGAAATTATGCAACAGAAGATGTGCTCCCCATCAAATGGTCATTGGTTAATCCGGTAGCGCATCAGTCAATTACACATACCCTTTTGCCACAATTTCCGCTGCAACTGAGTCACCTCTTGACACAAAATACATGTTATATAAATAAGTTTTCTGTAGTGCTAGCCTAACATGTTAGATGTACCCCTCACATTTTCCTTCAATATTACTTCATTTCTTAAAGATGAGAGACAAGTTCCTCAGTCAAGCATTTTGTTGTGCATAACACAGAGTCCAAACATTTGTGTCTTGCCTAAGCAAAACCGCTGAAGAAAATTGTCACTGCAGTTTTTCTATTTATTCGGTGCTTGCTGGTGATTTGTGTGTATTAAGTCCGATACCTGTAAACACCTACCAGTACCGTTGACATAACACATTCATAGTATTTAATTTTATCTAGAATAAGCTTAAACATGGAGTAGATTTATAACTACTTGCAATGCAATCAAACATAGTTGGCAAGAATGCTGATGCTTGTAAAAATCTTAGTGACTACACTACACAAAAACACTGTTCTCTAGGCCCATTGCAGTGCCCAAAAATATCAAACTATGATGAAATGAAAGCCGCAATGAAGCACTCACATCTTCCTCTTTGACATCCTTGAGTTCATCTGGCAGCGTCGTTGACAGGACATCCTTGTCGTGGTCTGTGATGATCCAGTCATCACTGATTTTCTTCTCTTCTAGCGTCTGAGAGCCAAAAGTCAAAACAATAGAGCGACACTGCAGCACTTATGAACTTTGCATGAAGTTTTACCAGAGCCATTAGAACGGGTTGTTTACGCTGTCTCTCTACTAAGCCAATACAGTATGTTTCACACTTAGCACGCGACACTGCAAAAACTACACACAACAGCATCGCAGTTTAGAAGATTTACCTCAAGCAATTTCTAGTGCTATAGGTTTAGAGCCGTGGGGATTTTTTTTTTTTTTAATGAATAACTAACTCATATATATTACAATTACAAATGTGCAAATATGACTATGTGAAATTACACATTATTTGTAGCCCTTTGTGCATTCACAGTAATGTCAAATATTACGGCTTCACCATGAAGACAGGTGGTGCACTGTGTTCTTAGGGTACAAAGAAGTGCCCTTCTGTCAATTGACAGTAAGCAGTCCAAATCTGCGACACCTTCCATGAAATTCCTGCATCATATTTTACAACATAAGGGCATGAGTCAAAGTTGCACCAAGTTACATTTTGCATATCTACATAGCCCTTTACATTGTAAAAGATCATACTCTTGAATGCTAATGCAAAGGCATAGATGTATAAACAATGTAGCACAAGGACACCTATTCTAATGGAGCGGCCATATTTCCCATTTGTCATCAGAAAACCACAAATAGTGATGGCACTGACTGCGGTTTATTCCTCCCTGCAGTGATGAAACCTACATACTTTCCATATTGTAGGGAAGAGTATACTGTGGCATATTTATCATTGTCACTTAATTAGGCATCACATTCAACACCATAATTGATCTTGCAAATAAATAGCACCATAATCTGTTCTCATTCCAAGCAAAGCTGGATACTGTAGCTGCCACTTTCCTTACCCTACAACTTTTTTATTTATTTAAATATTAATGGCAAGATATCATAGTTCATTGGAATGTGGCCCTGGCAGCCAAAGAGTCAACAAAATGAAGCTTGAAAGCTACTCAATCAGCATTTTACAACGAAATTCCCGTAATGAAATTCTGGGTAGCATAAAATTACAGCCACTGAGAAAATCACAATCACTAAGTGAATGTTGCAAAATTTACGAGTACAAACAAATTTTTGCCACTGCTACGGCAACAAAAAGGTTTCACAGTGCAAAGAAGTTCATTCCACAAATTGTTTATGAATGCAAGCTTTCTAAACATTAAGACATTGCTTTAAATTGAAAAAAAAAAGTCTTTTTTCACTTACAGTATTTTACTGTCCACATCACGGTATACGGTAGGAAACGAAAATGGTAAAGCACTGACATATTATAACAAAAACTTCTAGTCACAGCAGATTCATCAGTCGACAAACTTTCACCTCTTCTCCAATGATGGTCAGCTTAGGGAATTGCCGGGACAAGGAGGTCACAATGCAGCGCTGGACAGGAGCGGTCTGCCTCGGTTTGCAAGTCATTGATGCCTTCCTGAATAGGACAGAGGTAAAAAGTTATTTTCTTTCTTACTTTCGCTTCAGCAGTCAAACATAAATATTGATCTCATGAATAGGTGACCAGTGGAAGAGGTCATATAAGATAACAAATCGAAAAGTCGCCATGCCAAAGAAGACTCTGATCACTTCATCGAGTCTAACTGCCAACTATAATGAATTACACTTTTGTAGAGTTCATTATGAGTGAGTTACATTTACCACTGAAGCAATCTTGGCAAAGAAGCAGTGCTGGTTAATGGAATAGTTGAGTTGTATTTTTTCAAACAGCATCTAGGAAACAATATTTGAGCCTAGAGGTCCTAGACTTTGTTTTCATGATCATCATACTTCAGAGTATAGTATGCTGGTCATGTACTCCATTCAAGAAATTAGATTACACGACCAGCACTGACTTGCTTTTATTTATTGAAGACCTAAAGAAAATTGAAGTACGTCTGAATGTCTGCCATTATGTCTAGATATCTCTCCTGATTGATTTCTTTTCAAGCAGCAAGTTTCCAAGCTAAAACCAATGTTTGGCGAGTTGATTAATACTTCGACTAGGCAAAACAAAGCAAAAGCATAGAATAGAAGCCACAGAGATACAGCGTTCCTGCGCATTTTTCCTTTCATTTCGTATTTCTGCGCTGTTTTGTCTTTAATAAACGAGTTTTCAAGCATCGACAGGTTATGCGCTGTAACGTCCTAGGCTGCATTTTGAGGACAAGAAGTTTCCTGACCAACGAAAAGCAGACAAAAATATTGCCTGCATTCCCCTCATAGCAGGTATGTAGTGCTGGGAAGCAACACTTCGTTTACAGCTGCAATAACGCTGATAACGATGGAAACTTGTTCGAGAACACTGACCGCTGTAAAAACGCAAGATCGACTTGTAGATAACCTTGGAAAGCTTAAGTTACCGTAGGGTCACACCATGAGACGTAGGAAAAAAGATCAGAAACACACGGCGCTTAGCTGAAATCACCTGCTGTCACGCAGTACTAACAGCAAAGGCTCATCAAAACGAAACGAGTTAATAGTCGTCGCGTCATTGTATTTTCTTTTTTTTTCATTTTCTTAAAGCCAATTTCGCTTTTGCAACAGCACGCGAACCTCGGGTAATAGAAGCTAATGAATGGTCTGTGCGTCGCTGAAGCGCAGATAAAAATGCTCAAGGTAGTTTCCCAACGTCAGTGCTTCGCCAAGCGATGAGGATAGCCTTGGAAAGCGGCGCGGCGACGGTTGGAGTGGATATACGGCGAGAGAACGGGCGTAACAATCACGCATAAACGTACAGCGAGCTACGACAAAAAGCGACAAAAGAAAAAAAAATAATAATGAAGGCCTCTTCCGGCAATCGTACAGCTGTGGAGGACACGGCAGCAAGAATCAACCGGAGACAGCATCGGCAGCACTCTTACAACTGCTGATCACGCGATGCCGGATGCCAATAGCGAATTAATATTTTTGGAAACATTAAAATTATCTCTCTATAGAACAGTGACAGCCACTTGATCGACGGTATAATGGTACGCCGATAAGGCGCCCTACTTGAGAGAGTCGCCGATCAGAAGTTTGCGCCAACTTGACGGCGCAGAGTAAAAAGTGCAAGAAAACTGTGCAGAGGCGATCAACAACCAACCTTTTCGACAATGCCGAGGTTCCCGCTGTTCATGATGTCCTTGAATAATTTTTCCTGCACTGTTAACTATTTTAACTGTGTTTGAGATCACCCTCAGGACGAGGGGGCCTGTCCCAGCTGCACCGCACGACGCCATGTTTATTTATGACCTCATCAACTTTATGATAACACTGGATTTATGACTACACCACAACTTGCTTTTAACTTGCTTTAGCCTATGTGCTAGCGACACCTAGCTATCTACATTTAAACTGCTCATTGGTTTGGTACGAGCCAACATAAGCCAAAACAGATCAAGTCAAGTTTTTTACGTCAACAAATAAACTTAAGCAGCGGGAAAGAGAGCCCGTCAGAACCGCCCTAGAGCTGTCGGCATGATCACGATGTGTTTTTTCCGTCCTTCCGTTTGTGTGATTGCGTGTGAAAATCGCGTGTGACCCTTACTTCTTTTTTGAAGGTCTGAAGTTTATTGGCTCAAGTTTAACAAAAAATAATCCTCGCTAAAGGTTCGTGACATCGCGTACCTTGTTTTCTGATACGAGTACACGCTGCTTCAGTGTACGTTTTTCAGATGCACCAATTTTGTTTCCCGAGTTATTGTGCATTAAGCGCTATGTAGAATACAGCAGTACCAATTGCACTTATTCCTGCCTCATGCAAAGGGCTGCATTGCGCTCAAGCCAGACGGCCGCTCCGCAAAAGGCGGATGGCCTTCCGCCCGTCACCTATTGGCTGCTCAGTAGCGGCTCAAAGTGAGCAGCCAATGAGAGACGGTTGGAAGGTCATCCGCCTATGCGAAGCGACAGTGCGGCTTGAGCGTAAAATGGCGCTCGAGTATATGAGCGTTTGTCTGCAACCAGTCATTTTGGCAAGGACTGTCTGTTCTGATCGCATGAAACAGGGTGGTCTGTGATGTTAAGCTACAGTTTGAATCCCTGCGTGGCGATTGTACTGACGATCTCTTTGTGCGCTCATATTTCAGATGTATCCAGAAAGGAGAAAAATGAGTGAAGCTCATTTCTCGGGGCTGCCCTCGCAGAGCAACATTTACGGCATGACGACTCTAAACATTGGAGACGCTAACAAAGTGCTGGTGTCTTGCCTTCAGAGAAACGTGTTCTGCATTGAGTACACCAGGAACAAGAAGAATGTGTTAACGCCCTCCTCCCGAGAAATACACTTCACATATCTGCCAGGTACTTATCGGCATGTGAAAGGAAAATTCACTTGGACACAGCTTGCACACAATTCAGAACATTTTGCTTAACCTGGCTGCTTTGATGTGCTTTGCAGAGGGAGCTGATGTGATTGCCATCGATGCATTCAGCAAGCCAGTGCCCGACAACTTAGACATAATCATCGGAATTGCTTTCATCAGGGTAAACGTGAAGTTTCTTACATTATTGTTGACTATTCATTCACTGCAACAACAAAATTATAGACAACACTAGCACTTCGTGTTGTCCCTTTCCAGGAGCGGATGCAGTCACTCATTTTAATGGGGGATGGTCGCCTGAAGTAACATTGGAGAGGGGGGCGTGGTCATGACCTTTTGTTTTTACTAGCTAAAAACTCCTTCATAGCATAAATACTGTTAATGTGTGTTCACAGTGGTTTCACTCATTTGTGATGAATGAGTGAAACTACTGTGAATGGATGATAGGAGGTGGACAACATGCAATGAAGTGAGGGGGGGGGGGGTGCTGACACAGACTTAGGGGGGGTGGGGGGCGATTGCTTCTACTACTGCCCCCTTCTGGATCCACCACTGTCCCTTTCTTTGTCACATATGCTCTTGAAGTCATAGAGTTTCTTACAATATTTACTACAGGGAACTTCGGTGCTGCGATCCTTCAGCCCCCATGGGAATGATGGGTACTAGTACACGAATTTGCCTAATCTTCATGCTTGTGGCTTCAAGCACACTTGAGGATTTGTTTATTGTTGTGTTCTGGCGTTGGTTTCGGATAAAAGAACGGATCCTGATGAACTTGCTGATTTGAATTGGTGAGCATAAATAAATTGTAGATATAAAGTGGAACTGCTAAACGTCAGTTGAACTTTTACTTGCAACAAAGCAGTTCCAGGCATCACAAAGCCAAACGAAGCCAAAAAAAATTTGGATCAGAAAAATCTGTGTACTACCCATCATTCCCATGCTGGCTGAAGCACCATGTGTTGCAGCTCCCGTAGACACTAGCGCCAGAGCTCCGTCCAGTGGTCAATACAGGAAACTTGCATCGCCCCGCCGCGGTGGTCTAGTGGCTAAGGTACTCGGCTGCTGACCCGCAGGTCGCGGGTTCAAATCCCGGTTGCGGCGGCTGCATTTCTGATGGAGGCGGAAATGTCGAGGCCCGTGTGCTCAGATTTGGGTGCACGTTAAAGAACCCCAGGTGGTCAAAATTTCCGGAGCCCTCCACTACGGCGTCTCTCATAATCATATGGTGGTTTTGGGACGTTAAACCCCACAAATCAATCAATCAATACAGGAAACTTGCAGTTACCAACTGGCCCACACCCACAGCCTTCTTAGTTTTGAAGTTACTTCTGATAAGGTGACAGCGATGCATACACATGGTTTTTTTATTCACTGTAACTGTCAAGAATCACTTTATTCAGTTGTTGGCATTTGTGAACTAGTTATATCACTAACATTATATCACCTACGCAAGTAATTACAGATATCCGATAGGCATACGATGGGACGTACATTTCGGATATTCCGGACATTGATCACATGTCCACGAATGTACACAGTATGTCCGACGGACGTACGGTGTACATTTTGCTGTTTCTTGTAGCAAAGTCATCCTTTGTAACTTCACATGTTGCTGTTGATGTCCGCACGGGCACGCTTAAAAAAAAAAAAAAAAAACTGCCTTCTGTCACTCGGAGACCGGCTCAGGTTGCATACTTGTGACGTGACATGAACACCCTACTTTCCCGTGCCACTTCCCTCAGTGTGTGCCGCTGGTCAAGCAGGTTTCGGGACAAAAGCACAATGGCGCGCGTTTTCTCTCAACACATCCAGAGGGGCACGGTTAGCATGGCTAGTAGGTTCGAGGAATCTGAGCAACTGCGGTGCACCGCTTGTTGAAAAGTGTTGAGGCTAACGCATGGAAGTTGGCCTACGTGATGACTGCTATGACGCGCTTGATCCGCATTTTCGTTAGTTCACATGCGATAATAATAACACTAAATATATTCTTTCTTATGACATACAATACACATATTGAATCAACCAGATTGTTTTGCCTCAGGAAGCAAAATTATTTGGCATCCTGGGATGAATTGCGCGTGCCAAAATTTGAATGAATTTTATAGTAGTTTTTTTTTTTAATCTTAAAAGGTTGTCACCTGGGATTCTGCAGATCTCTATATGTTTTCACATTTTTAATTTTACAATAATTGATGAGCAAATGCGCATATACTTGGCATAGACAGCCAGTCACCGTTCAAAACTTGATGTCCAGTAGGACATCCAGCTCAGACGTCCAGAGAACAGCTACTGGGGGCGTGGACTTTCACCGTACGTCCATTGGCTATCCGTGTTGAATATCCACACGGCCGGACATTTGTATTCAGAATGGACAGCCAGCGGATATCTGCGGTTACTTGAGTATAGTTAAAGGCTGATTATGTTCAGGTGAAGCATCAAAGTGATAACAGCATTTAGTGTTGCCCTCAAACTCTTGCATCCAATTACACTGTAACATTAAACTACATGTGAGTCTCCATGACACAAATTAACTGCTGTTGTTTCAGAGAACAAACACCCTGGCAACTATTAAGCATCCCAAAATGCAGCCTTTATAAGCATCACATTACGATGATGCACAAAATGAAACTTAATGAAACTGCTTTAATACAGCATTAGGAACAAGCACTGTATTTTTTTTCTTTTAGCCTGGAGAAAATCAGCTTGCTAGACATTATCTCAACATCTATTCTCAGTCAGAACCAGGGTGTGGACTGGATCTTGACAGAATCGCACGTAAGCATGCATAGCCTCTTCTTTCCAGAAAGTTCATCAGTGTCACACTCATGTACACAATTCATTCAATGCAGAGGGATGTCAGAGTCTCGAGCTCAACTTCATTCCCTACCAGCTCACTCATGCGCTGTAAGTTCATAGCATAGCGCAGTATTTTTTTATGGAAACAATCAAAGCTCAAGCTCTGCATTGCTCTGTTCAAAACAGGCTGTTCCCTAACCAGGCTTGCCAGAGAAGTGGAGAGTTTGTGTTCCTCCTCTGTGGGAGTGACTGCAGGATACATCTTTTCAGAGAGGTTTGTTGTTCTATTCATTGTTCACTGGCACTATTTCTGTTTTGGAAAACGTCACACATTGGACCACCAAATGACCTTAGTCCTTTTGTTCATGCATATACAGGACATACACCAGACCTACAGCGAGATTCCAGTGGAAGATTACTTTCCAGAATTTGGAAACATTCCTGACATGTAAGGTCACAAAAGCATTCTATCTCGCCCTATTCACAGGGAATAGTGCTATTCAGATCGAGCGAACTATGATGCATTGTGGCAAACTAACAGGAGCTTTGCTTCTGCCTTTGATGTGACTGGGTGGTTGTTTAATTAAATCGCTAGCATTTCTGTTTTGTACATGGGGCTGCAGTGTCTTGGCAATGGATCTCAAATACAAGGATGAAGACAGCACTCGAATTTCAGCCATTGGATGCGAGAATGGATTTGTACAAGTTGCGGTGACCTCGCAAAGAAGCAGCGGTATGTTTGTGCAATTTTCATTTGTTAGTTTTCTTATTTTGCATAAAGAACCTGAACGTGAAGGATTATGCATGGAGTAGGGCTGTTCAGTAAATGATATCTCGCTCTGTACATTTCTGACCTGGAAAGATTCATAGCAAAGCTCATAATGAGTTGTTGCTGCAGTGCTAGTCAAGTTTAGTTTGCATTTTCTTCCGGCACTTTGTGTTCAGGTGCCCTGGTGAGGCAGTAGTGGTGCTATTTACAAACTAGCAACACTGTTTTTTTTTATTAAATAAATGCAGTGTCTTGTAGCACACTTGAGTACAGTTGCCATACATTTAATACATCTATATTTAAAACACTAACAGTAACTGATCTTTAGTCCTCCTTATTTACATACATGTTATATCTATCATTAGCATTTCAGTTCTCTCCTCATGACTCATGATGCACTTTGGCCATAACAAAGCAGCGCTATGATGTGGTGACCTTGTGCCACCAAACACCATACCATCATCATAAAGACGTCCATGCATGAGAGTTGAACAATACAAGCTTTTCTTGTGAGTGTTTCTCTGAGAAGACCAGAGCATACATACTAGGAAGAATTGTAGTAAAATGAATGTGTAACTTTTTATTTCTTTTTTTCCGCTGCCTATAGGTGAAATTGAAATAACATCATCGTGGCAAGTTGACTTGGACTCACCAATCTCTGCCCTGCATCTCTTTGAAGACAGTGCCCACTGGCCGTTGCCAGATTACATAAATCACAGTAAGTTCTGAATGTAGTCAGCACTCTGAAGCTCATATTCTTTTCCAGGGATGCCAATTTTATGTTTGCTGCTGCATATCTTGACTATGACAAAATAAGTTACACAAGGTCCATTCTTTGTCTCATCCAACTTGTTAAATTGTTAAAACTGCTGTTATGAAGTAACTAGTCCAGCAACACGAATTTCACATTGAATGCAATTTTTCAGGCACTGAGGCCAATAACTGTTTTTTGCACATTACAAGGTGATTTAAGTGAGGGTTTTCATCATAGATGAAACAGGATTTGCTCAGAAGATGCATCAGCAATAGTGAGCAAGCAGGGGTCAGCAAAATTGTGTAATAAAATAAGAGGAATGCACGGTGTTAGGTAGGAATGCACGAATAGTAAATTTTACGTTCAAGTGTTGTACAACAATGTGGCCAAACAATTTCAAGTCGAATAGCGCGAATAGTATATATCACATATTATATATGTAAAAAAATGAGCACGTTTATCGTTACTCAACTAACCTGCACAATTGGAACAAGTCGTGTGTGAATTCCATTCTTTTTGGTTTGTAGTGAGGTGGAAACAACTTTGAATGGTAGCAGGGTTTCACTTTCAGTGGGATGCAAGTGATATCAGGTGAAGTACATTGCGTTTTAATATTTGCTATACTGAGAGCATATCAGTCTGTGTAACAAGCTTTTAAAGTTGCAAAAAATGAATAATCGATGTGAGAATATCATGTCCATTTAGCCTGGAAGTAAAACTTTGCGGCAATGTGGTTTTTATGTGTTTTCACGGCATAGCATGCATGCACTGCAGTGAAGCCACCTTTACAAAGGGGTTACGTGATGTTTAATACATTTTTTCGTTCATTTCGCAGACTCTGAATGATTTAGATTTATGTAGAAACGAATTCAAATACTGTAATATTCATTTGAGTATTCATACATGCGTAGTGTTAGGTTATGTTATGTTGAGTGATGGTGCATAATGTGTAGGGCAATAATTGTTGGTTTATTAAGAGTGGCGAATTGAGTTTTATGAGATGGGAATTGTGGTCAAAGATGGTAAATTGGACTAAGTGGGGTGATGAAATCAGAACATTTTCGGTCATAGAATGGGGTCGTCCCATGCAGTTGATAGATAATTATAAATAGCTGGGAGACATATATTTCTCGTAGGGAACGTCAAATACTGTGTAGCTTGCAGCTTTATGCAGTGTAAATTGTACAGTTAAGATGTCTTGATCAGCGAGCTGGCATTACAGTCTCTATTATACAAGTGAATATTTGGGAGTGCCAAACACAGAGCTACCATTTGTAGACATTAGTAAGTCTAAGTGACATACGAAAGCTCTCGTGTTGGTGCGAAAAACTGATTCACTATGATGAGGAGGGAAATGTTTTTGACCTTATTCACATCTCGACAGCGCTGACACTCCGCAGATCGTATAGTTGTCTTCACTTTGCAGCCGAACTTGCCAACAACTGCAGCTCGGATTCAACACTGAAAACGCACCTTCTCGTTTGCCGCGCGCTGATTTCTTCATTTGTTTACAGGTGAGGTTGAACCATTCCACAGCAACACTCGAGTGTACAAGGATTGTTTGCAGTCATGTTGTGCCACATGATAACTCATTGGCTTTTTGCAAACTGCAGTGCAACATCAAGTTCTCTTTTAATACCTTAGCCATTTCGTAAATTCTTTCTCCTTTAAAGTTTGTTGTTTTTAATATGGTTATAATAAATGTAGCTTATGTAGGTGCCTTGGTTCATTTATGAAATAGTAAGTAAAATAAAGAATTTAATGAATATTACAAACATTTAAGGCCAACTATGATGTGCTTGAGATTTACAAAGATTGTAGAAAAATGTCTATGCAAACAAGAAATGTATATAATAACAACCTTACCAAAGGGTTTTATATGCCCTTTCACTTGTTTGAAACCGATGTGAGCGAGTAAAACGTGTTAAAAGCAATATGATGCTAAATAAATAAAACGATGATATTGTGAAATTGAAGCAAAGAATAAGGCAGTGAATTCTTATCCGAGTTCCCTCTGGTGTTGATCCTTCTGAACACACTTTGTCTCACCTAACCATACATTTACCATCTCTATTCCAAGTTTTTTCATGGCTAAACAGGCAATCATAATTCTCAAGTAGGGGTGTGTGAATAATCGAACTTTCGAATATTTTTCTAGTAGTGTTTGTGATTCGATTTACACTGGAGTTTCTACCACTCGAACTTCCAAAAGACAAATACAGCCGACGTTTGATTAGCAATGGCCCCTTCACATTTTTTTATATGCTTCATCTTATTACATCCTCGCAGTGCAGGGAAGCTGCTTTTTTATTGCTTTGGTAGCAAATGTATTGACTCAAAAGACGCCGATTCCAACATAAAGATGTACTGCGCCGTTACAGTGGCCCCTTCATATTTTAGTATGCATCACCGCATCACACCATGGTATTGTAGCAAAGCTACTTTTAGGGCTCCGCTACAGCCATAAGTTGATCGACTAGCTGAGACGTCCCCCGCTACGCCATCGATTACCAAAGAGAGGGAAGACCACTCAACCCCTTTTCTATCCGGTTCCCTCTTGGCTACGTGTCTCAATCACTTTCCACATACAGGGATTTGTGCTGGGGCCGGGAAGTAAGAGACGTCACGGCCTGTTCCTGTTTACTGATTCATTTAATTTATTACTAACTGCAAACATTGTATACCCGCGTACATAATCCACTACACAAAATTATGACACATGATTTAGACACTCGCTACGTTAGACACAGGGCAGGCTCATAAAGAAAGTAACTGCAACAACACAAGGTTATGCATATATAAAGCAAACACACGACGACACAAATGATGAAGTTATCAATTAATAAAACCGCGCAATGTCTCAATATGCCGCATCCCTTCCCGCAAAGCTCATTTATGTAAGAGAGGTGAAGTTCGTTTCACAGAATGTCCATGTAGTCCGGGCCTCGGAGTTGGCTGCTCGAATCGGGGCCGAAGGTTGGTTCTTGGCGTCGAGGTCTGATCTCTCCAGTTCGTCAGCATCTTCATCGTCTTCGTCATCGTTGCGTACGTCGTGCCTCTCAGTGATTTCCATCTTAGCCCTCTTTCGTAACCCTCTCCATTCACTCGCCTCCTATCCCTAACTTTCATTCCTCATCGTACCGTCTTTGCCCCAGTCATCATCTCATCGACTCTCATTGCTATCTCTTCGCACCGTTATCTTCCTTTTCCATTCCGTCTCTCTACCATCTCGAGCTCATCGCATCGTATCTCCGACTCTCCCCGTATCGTCTCGTAGTTCCTTTTTGTAGGACCCGACTCCGCCCTACCGGGGCACCAAACCAATCGCCACTATCAACGCGGCATATTTTCTTGTCAGTCAAAGTGTATCATCTTCGACGGCCACCCCCCGCGACCCACACCGGTAGAAAACCCTCCCCCAAACAAAGTCGAGCAAGTAACAATGTACAAACTCAAGCCTCAGAGAGAGAGATGGGCGAGCTGTCCCAAGACACTTTAATTACGGGCAAACAATGGTCCCGATGCTTCCAACAAAGTGCGATGCCTGCAATGGCCAACGTCCGGAGTTTGCAGTGTTGTGCCGAAAAGTTTTCGGCCGAACCAATTTCCCCGGTTTCTGGTACTTGATGAGCCGATGTCCAGAACGAGTCTCGACGTCTCCATGCAGCTCGGTGTCTCCCGCGAAATTCTCCGTAGTCGCCACTTCTTCGTCATTCAACGCCGCGGGTGGCCATCCGCGCAGAACGCAGTAATGAGCCCTGGAGCCACGGAGGCTGACGGAAAGTCACGTCGGACCCGGCACAGGCGCTGCGGCAGGGTCGCATTCCCCGAACCAACAAAAGGTGCTCTGCTGCTCCCCCATGCCACAAATCTGAAGGGTGCGCGTGGATTACCTCCACCGTACACTGTCACACTGTCTGTAGACGACAAGGCGCCGCCCGGTCCTCGTGTTTGCGCAGGGGGGCTTGCGAGAACAGTAGAAATAATCTTTCCAGGTACTCCACTCCGGAATGCCCATTCGTTACACCGAAGGTTTTCTTTTCCTTTTTTTTTATGCGTGGTTTTAAGAAACAAGCATAAACATCTTGAAAGGACCGAAGTTCTGTCCCTGTTTGCGGGGACGTCACATAGCGAAAGCATTGGTTCGAACCTACTCGGCATAGGTGAGGACTTAATTAATACCATTTCCAACCAAGAAGTTCATAAAAATTGGACAAACATTTTCAGCATCTGAAATGTCAGATTCCTTTATATATTGATGTGAACAGGGCAGATTAGCAACTCCAAATAAAAAAGGAAGCACACCCTTGTCTGCCAAATGAAATGGGCCTTCACAGATGTTGAAATAGTCTTTCTTTTCCCGTGTAAGGTATTGTCGACACCACGTTCGTTGCGTTGCCTCATGCTTGATAAAACAACTCGGGAACACCATCCTTTGAGCACTTCACGAACTTAGCCAAAAGAAACACTTCCATGCTGCCGTCTCATAAGAATGTGTTTGTAAACGCGAAGCAGCTTGTGAACAAGGCTTGTCCTTCGTCGCGCTGTCGCCACTGCTGGTGATGACCACGATGTTGATGACGATGAAGAACAAGTGCGTTCCAGACCACACATTATCTTTCTGCCATTACGGCACAGCACATGCGGGGTAGCCACTATACGTAATGACGGGAACGATGACGCTGATGAGGGTGAAGATGATGGCGATAATGATCATAAAAGCCGACTGGCTTGTGCAGTATATGACGTCTTGATATGCTCTACAATGCTTTTCGTATGACTGGAAACAATCAACAACCACCAGGGGGAACGAAACGTGCCCAGATCTCGTCTTTGCCAACTTCAGGCTAGATCCAAGACCACAAAGCATTAATAATGAAAGCAAAACGAAATTCACAGCTCAACACAGAATACTAGTTAGGAAAAAATAAACATTGTATACAACCGTACATCGGTCGGCATTCATTTACATGTGCGAGTGGTCAATGTCGCAGGCGATTTATGGTAACACCGAATGATCCCACAGCTTTGCCCACTCATCATCATTCACTTTGTGGATATTCTGTGACTTTTTTTCTTTCTGTAGTTTTTTCTATTATTATATACATTAATTATTACTATAGATAAATAATTATTCTTAGAGGAGCCCTAGCTAAGGGCTCCACCAGCCTTAGCCACCTGTGCAACCTGCTTGATCAGTCTGTCTTAAATACTTGCTTATAATTTGTGTCCAACTCAAAAGTACTGCAAATACATAACATAATGTGGCTAAAACATCCACGATGAATAAAAAGAGACAAGAAAAACGTGCTACGAATAAGAAGGCATATGAGTGTGGCCGCTATTTCCGCTGAGGTTGAGAAGTCAAAGGGGTGTACCGTGGAGCAGACATAACCAGTAGTGTTTCATAATGCTACGCAGTCGATGCAGTGGGGGCAAGGAAACACTGTCATGGACTGCCAAGGGCACCTCCTCTCCTATGTCAATCATGTGACCTCCCCCTTGTTTCCCCTCTCACCAGTTGAACTGATATCCTGAAAATAGGAAGCTGTGCAAGCATCATCTGATGTGAGATTGGCACTTGAGTGTCACTTGGAGAGGCCTTTCTTTCCATGAATGTGAAATAGGCTGATGGATTGAGAGTGTGCTTTGTGTAAAGGTAGATAAAATCGAACCCAAAGACCATTAACTTATTATTGTGTCCCCTTCCCTACCAACAGGGACGTGCTTGACCGAGGCTTAGAGACGCACGCCATACTGCCTTGCAGCGATGACTTTGATTCTGTCGTCTGTGGTTGCGTTGCCGATATCGACATGGATGGAGTGAATGAAGTCATATTGGGGACTTATGGTCAGGTGTGTATCGAACCTCTCAATATGTTTTGTGCGCACACTTTAACAGTGGAGCTCTGCAAGCCGGGCGTAGGATGTAATCCGTGGACTCGACAAACCTTGCCTTAGCGATGACGGCATTCCCAGAACATGCGTGGACGAGCTTAGATGTGTGAAATTATGTGCCGCCGCCAAGCAGGCATGTGCTCCCTTCGCGCTCTTATACATTGTCGCATTCGTCTTCTTTTGCTTTGCTCCCAGAACACGAGCGTCGTTTTCTCCAGCACGGAATGCAATAACTCTGATGCGTGAGACGAGTGTAGAAAGGAGAATAAATATTTAGAAAGAGAGACATGCTAAGGGATAAAATTTCTCCACAAGGCAAGATATGAGCTTGTATACACACGATCTGAAAGCGAGTGTCTTAAGCACTAGGCTATCTAGGCACGCTAGCAGAGCATAGCCTTGTATAGTATAAAGTAGCAAGGGAGTGGGAAAGGGAAGTGAGAGAGAAATATAGAGGGAGAGAAAGAAATAGGAATAGCCAGAGAGAGAGGAAACATTTATTGTACAAAGGTTTCTGAGTGAAGATGGGAGTGTCCTTTATTCCAAGGACCCTCCAGCCTGGACCGCCTGCCTGGTTTGAGCGACGAGTCGGCACTGGTCAACCAGGTTACATAAGAAAAAAGGTCGTACTGAAAGAATGAAACAAAAAAAGAAACAAAGGAAGAAAGAAAGAGAACAGTTGCAAAAGAGGAACAGCTCAGACTACTTAGGTGCCCATCAGTTCCGCTGTCTCTTCAGCAGTTCCCCAGTGCCAGCTGCACTAATTTTTTAAAATGTGACTTCTTTGCAGGAGGTGCTTGTGTACAAGCTGATGGGCCAGGGGTCAGGAAAGAAAGCCTATGCATTGCTTTGGCATCAGACGGTCTCCCATCCCATCCTCTCGATGAAGTACATGGACTTGACAGGAGATGGAATTTGTGAGCTCCTTGTGCTGTCCACCAAGGGGCTGCACATCTTACAGGCATGTTCTTTGTTCCTGTTCTTGCTTCATATCACACGCTTGTGTCAGACAATAGAAGAGAGACAAAAAAATTACAGGGTCCCTATACATTTGGCTATGATAACTCAGAAGGCAAAAACCATCTTCTTTTTCTTCTCAATCAATTTATTGATGCTACCCTGCCCCCTTCAGAAGCTTTCTGCACCTCACCTGCTTTCGAATTGTCCCCGTGATTGGCCTACCTTTGACCTAGCGACAATCATGTCACAATGTGACGCCACAATGATGTAACAAATTTTGCCAACCTGTAACATCATCATGTGGTAATTTTTCGCGTTACTCCTATTGGCGCCAGGAACGGTCGATTTTCACATTTGATGAGACTTTCGACTTAATAAAGAACAGTAGACCCTGTAGTGAGGGCAAGTACGATGTAATGTTGTATTTACGGGGGGGGGGGGGGGGGGGTGACGGCTGAAATTGAATTGAAAGCAGTTTCTGGAGCAGCAGCATTTCGAGTTTGTAGCGGAAGAGCCTTGACTTGGAGCAGTTAGTGGCATTTAATATGGCATCTAGAATCTTGACAATAAAGAAATTCGCAACAACTTGGCGGGTCAAGTACACATTTCAACGGCTCACATACGCATAACAGTGAAACAGCCGTTGGAGTTATTTTAACAGCTGATCAGCAGGTATGACCTACATTACATTTTTATGTACTCAGCAGCAATTATAACTAATTGTTGCCAACAGAAAATTATAACTAACAAAATTTAGGGGATTTGCTCAACTATATTCAATTGCCATAAAATGTTTAAGAAACAAGAGACTAGTTTGTTTGTATGCCACATGTGATCAGTTCCATGCATTTAAATTTCTTTGAAGTAATATTTCCCACACTTTCCTTAATTCATATTTCCTGGCTTCTTTATTGTTATCTTCATATATACAGTCAAACCCCTTTACAAGAAACAGTAGTGTAAGAGACAAATGGGTATAACAGACACCAGTGTGCCCGCCTTGAAATAGGTGTTACCTGATAAGAAAGTGCATATATGTTACCAGCCTAGCCGCGGCGGTCTTGTAGCTCAAGTATTCGGCTGCTGACCCGCAGGTCGCTGGACTGAATCCCGGCTGCGGCGGTTGCATTTTCAATGGAGGCGAAAATGCTGTAGGCCCGTGTGCTCAGATTTGGGCGCATGTTAAAGAACCTCAGGGGGCGAAATTTCCAGAGCCCTCCACTGCAGCCCCTCTCTCATAATCATATAGTGGTTTCGGGACGTTAAACCCCGTGTATCAATCAATCAATCATATATGGTGTCCTGCTTATAAGAAACACCTCATATAAAGGACAAGAATTGCTCCCTGATGCATGTCTCTTATAAAGGGGCTCAACTGTACAGCAGAATGTTCCATGGAACTTGAGGGACTGGGAAAGCATGTTCTGCTTAACAGGAGTTTTATTTATTTTTAAAAAAGGCATAAGCACACAGCAGTCAAATACAAAATTAACTATATTACAGGCACTTGTTCCATTTATGCAGAGAATAAGTTTACACAATTTTTCTCCACAACAGTACGAATGTACACACACACACGCTACGGTAATGCATTAAATCTGGAGACACCTTCAAGCATCAGAGTTCTTGTACATCTCCATGCACGCTGTATTGCTCACGAGTGCAGGCAGTGGTGGCTTGTGCAAGTTGTGAAATCAGTGTTGTTGCATTCATGCAACTGCTTCTTGTGAGACGAGTATTTTCATAACTAATTATTTCTATGCAACAGCTTTTTCATCTTCATACTAATATGTAGTAGTTACACCTTAGCCGACAAATGTCGTGTACAAAATTCAACTCTGTCATAGTGGGATATTGGTCTGCATTATGCGCTAGCCTCAATATGTCTTAATATTTATGAGATTCTTTTTCCCGAATTTACCAGCGCTCTTGTTAATGTACTTTTACAGCATGACCTTCGAGAGGCAACCAGCATATGCATGGAAAGAATGGAAAAGATTGCAAAATTTTTGAGTAAGTCTCCAAGCACGCTGGATTGAAGAGCCAGAGAAGAAGGCATCTGGTGGGTTTGAGAAATTCTGTGCAATTTATTCGTTGTATATAGTACAAACAGCACAATTAAAAGAGCTTATTTACAAAAAATAAGAGTAAGTATATAAGAAACAGTCTTCCACGACACGATGTAGCTACTTGATGCGATAGAGCATCTTCCGCTGCATGCGGTGTTGGATCTCCCCTCGTCGAATCATGTAGTGAAGCACTTTGTAGATGGCGCGCTCAGGATATTTCTGCACGAGAAAATACATTAGTGGGTGTTAACATGACAGCGACTGCTTTTGCAGCAGGTCCTGCATTAGAAACTTTCACGAATGTTGACTACTAAGAAGTTTCCATACTAATGTGATACCCATGCCAAAGTTTTTATTACTGTTGTTAACAGTTAACGCTTATAAATATTACGTAGTCAGCCACATAGCTACGGGAAATTCCTGCACATTTAAGGGAACGATCAAAAAGGCATTCATGCTGTCGCTTGTGTGTTGACGATGGTTGACATTGCTTAACAGTTATGCAAGATTAGGTTGCAGAGTTATGTCTATTCACTCTAAATAGCGCTGAGCAGCAGCAGGAAAACGTCGATAAACCTACCTTTTTTATTATTCACCCATGACGTTTTTAACTTTTGGTTTTTTCTGCCTGTTTTTGCATATGACTTGTGGAATAACAACATAGCAATAAAGGCAGGTAACCTCCCTTATCAAAGTCACATTGTTCACAAGATATTGACAAAAGATGCACGAACCTGTTTGACAAAGTCTTGCACGATGCTGTGCTCCGAGACCTGAGAACCAATAGCAAAGCGACGCTTCATCTGTCCTTCGATGCGCAGAAGCATTTCATGTTCATCTTGTGTCTGGAACTCTTCGGCACCGGAAAGGTCTCCGGACAGTGCAGCGTCCAGTGTCGAAACCTGAAAGAAATTCATTGCCAGCAAATGACGTTTAAAAGACCTGACGCTTAAAAGTTTAAAATAACAAGGACATAAAGGGGCCCTGAGACACTTTTTTGAGCAATTATGAAATTAATTCACTAGAAAAGCGTTTTGCCTCAAATTCAACGGCTCAAAAATTGTAAGAATCCATCCAGTACGAACGGAGTTACAAAGATTTGTCACACGCTGCAATTGCATTCTCTCTTCTCTCGTTCCGACGAAAGTGCTGGAAGCTAAGCAGGGAGGAATGGAAGGGGGCAAACAAAAACGTCACGCGCGCCTCGTGAACTTGAGCACTTTTTTCTTTTTCTTTGAATACGCAACTTTTTTCGTGCAATCGCGCATGCTTGAGTGGAAAAGTTACAGCCTCTCACGGCGATCTCTGTAACAATTGAGCACGCCACGTTTAAATCAGCCAATGACTGATAGATGGGCAATCTACATGTGATTTTTGAGCTTGTTCTGTCATTTATCAGGAGAAGAGAAAACAAGTTTTAGCTAACTGAAATATTATTGTGAAATCCAGGCTGTGTTCTGCACTATAACATTAGGCTCGCGTGTTGTCGGGAGCCTCTACTACCGATCGGCAGCGTTTTCTGACCATGCTCAAAAAGTGTTGCAGGGCTCCTTTAAATGCAGTTAGGTATGAGTTTTCAGTCAAACTAAATACAGCCAATGTTTTTGGACTCCCTAAGGACCGCAAAATCGTCTAGGGTAAAAAAAAAAAGGTTTTTATTGCGGTCAAGTCGCCACAGCCAAGTCCGAAGTAGCTTCAATGCCTCCCAGTACACCCAAAAAAAGATGCGGTTTAAAAAAAAAATTCGTTAACCTCTGGCCTAGGACAATGAAAATTTTAGCAGTATATATAGGGTCTTAGGCTGATTTCAAATCTGTAATTAGTTTTATATAGCAAGTTTCAATTTTTATTTTGTGCCACGACAATGTGTAAAATAGAGCTCACTTTGGACAAACTTGTTATGCTATTTATTAAGCCTTTATGACATATATAGCACCGCATTAACTGTAGAATGCATCAAGAAAGTGCATATATACCAATTTTTTGGACGATAAAAATTGTTTTGTGAGAACTCTTAGAATCCTCAGCCCAGAATTATTTGCTTTACGTTTGTTATGTTATAATTATACAGGCGATATGAAGTCTCAAAAGAGATACTTGCACCCTTCACATGTTCAGAAATATCTGGGCAAAATTTCATCCTGATCTGGCTATCAGAGATGCCAAAAACGTGATGTCTAAACTTAAGATGTCACCTAAAAAATGGATCTTGAGGAAAACTCATTCCAAAGGTATAAGTCAAAGCTTATCTATGCAGTAGATATCTTTCTAAAAATGATTTCTTCCATCATGAGAGCCTGGCAATCATTATGTTGAGAATGCACCTTTAGTGAACTCCTCACGCCAAACGCAATGGCAATTTCCAGGGGACTCTTAGAGCTCTTTTTAGGTTTTAGTAGCCACCTTGTGCTCTTTAGGAGATATTAACATACCTCGAGCTTAATTTCAATCTTCAGTTTTTTCATTGTGAAAGCAAATAAGTAATTAAAAAAAAAACAACTTGCATTTTTAGACTAGCACATGCCCAGGTTCTTGTGAATACATTTGGTACCTGCCACGATCCCTACTTAACTATATGCCAACAACTAACTGCAAATTTGCTTCTAGTGATGAGTGCCACCAATACCAGAAAGGTGTAGAATAAAATCTGGCCTTCCCGCATAGAGTGTTCGAAGACAATGATGCCGACCCAAAGGCTGTAGCAAAAGAACAAGCGACACGTCCAGTTAACCGCGATGCATGCGCCCACATAAATGATGCGCCACCAACAAAAATCTCTGCCGACCTGCAGCATTGGCCGCTGCATGAAGCTGATCGTTCCTAGTTGTGTGTAGGACATCACTAACTAAGCTGATGCAGTCACTGCCAGGGCTTTTGTTGTAACATATGCCTGCATTTGTCATGAAAGTGTTTGTGATGCCCACTCTGTTCCTGACCGCACAAGAGTGCAGCAACGGCGAGCTGCCTTCTTTCATGAAAGCAACGTGTGTGCATCACGCAGTATGAACAGCAGTGTGGCACGTTTGGGTTGTCACCTATTAACAGCGTGCTATATGCATACAACTGCGCTAAACCGCACGCAGTACTGAGCAGTCAGCTGAATACGCTCATCATAGAGGGTTGTCTGCGATTGAGCCATACCGGCGCGTTTCCAGCCTGCTGCCATCATACCTCCGCATGTTTCCGGTGCTTATGCATAAATACATCACCACAGTCAGAAAAACTGGACACCGAAGAGACAGCGTCTGAAATTTCAGATGTTTTATAGATTGCTGTCTATGGAGCTTGCGACGGTGTCGCAAAAGCTTCCGAATTTCAAAGCACGTTTGAAACACCCAATGTTTTTAGAGAATGAGAAACGACGTATACACACACACACACACACAGTATTTACTCGTGTCATGAACAAACTGGCAAAATAAAATAAATTTGTCCGCTGCAGCCCCGCTAAATGACACCTGGTCCCTTAAATCTCTTTAGTTTTTATTATTACGCCGACCCCCTTCCGCTAGGGTGGCTCACTCCTTCCCCAATTTCACCCGCTGCCGTGCGCCGTTTTGTGCTATCTGTGCGCAGCACATCCTATGTCATTTTTTTAATCATTATTATTATCTGTGCACCACAGCGGGTTTCACAAACGGTGTGAGTGTAGAGACATCGCAGCTAATAAGCACACAGCGAGCAAAGGTCACGAAACTGCCCGCGACAACCAACGGTGGCTTTTTGCAAATACGGAACTTTAAAGCACATCCACGTTATTTTCGAGAGACGGCGACAGGGTTGGCTATCGCCGTGGCTGTCGCGTTACATTTACACCCCCAACATTGCTCCCATTTTTCCAGAAAAGAAAAGTGCATTCGTTACGTGAGTAAATAAGATACATAGAGAACAGCTTAAGTACGGCCTATGCGTAGTGCATAAGTCACAATACCCTTTACCCATGTGAATGTTGTGGTGCATCATACTGATCCCTTAGCTAGCATTGGCAAGCAGCTGCAGGACCTTGTGCTGACAGTCGTAGACCTTTTACACTACCACGTACCTGAAAGAGTCTCAGTGCCTCGTCTACGTGCCACTCGGTAGCAAATGGCTGTAACTGCATTTTGGCCAGGGATTCAGCAATACGCACAATAGCCTCCAGCTGCCTGCAATGGAGCAAGCGTGAAGCATTAAACAAGTAGCAATAGAAGATAGAACAATACATCCACGCTCTCTTCACCATGCAGTAACAGGCGATGCTACAAGTAACAGCATTGTAGCAGTCTGTGTGATGGCATCTGTGGAATGTCTTTGTACGTTACGACTATTTCACAAGAAATTATCATTGCCTGTGGACCATTGCGGAACATGATGCACCTTCTTGGTCATGACGCAGGCAGTGGTGCCTTGTACAACTTGTGTAAGAGGCATTGTTACAGTCATGCAATTTGCTGGTTGCAGGATTCATATTTTCAAAACTGCGATGCTTTCTATGCAAGTTTTTTTGTTTGCATACTGCGACCTTTAGCATATGAAATGAATGTTACACCAATAGCTTTATTTATTCATGTATTGATTACCAATACAGTCCTAAAGGCATTACGAGTGTGTGTGTGTGTGTGTGGAGGGGTCGGGTAGGGGGCAAAAACAAAAGAAAGAACACATTGCAGATATATGCATGTTATAAAAATAACTAATATCATATAAAAGAACACAACATAAGTATGGTTCAACAATGACAATTTCACAACACTTAGTACATCCATTTGTTAACTCATGAGCGATTTCACAACATGGAAAAAAAATAAATCATTATCTGTTATATTTACCAAGGCATCTTCTGTTATGCTGTTCCAGTCTCTTATTGTTTCAGGAAAGAACCGTGTGTACCGTATTTTGCTTATAACTGACACAAACTCTACTGAAGTTCAGGATTGGGCTAGTTGGCAACGGGCAAGAGACAGACGAGAGAACAGAGATATCTAAGTGTTGTCTCCCAGCTCATGGTTTATTGAAAAATGTGCACAATTATGTATATACATCAGCACGCCACATCACCTGATCGTGCAAAAAGAATTGTCTAACCATCATAAACAAGTCAAGCAGAAAACGCTTATCGGACATGGCAAAACACTGTACAGAAAAACCAACAAAAGGCATATCGATGCTGTCACTAAAAGCTAGCTCTTTTGGGGTCCAAGGGCTCACTGACACAGTTACCCTTGGCAATAATTGAGGCCTCAATGATCACTATAATTTGATTATATGCATATTTGCAACAATTATTAGTGATCAATTGCATTGAGCGCGAAATTGCGCTCGTTGTATTTCGTGCTGTATTTTACTCGACCTGTGTCAGTATTTACTAAGCGCATCTTTGAAGATGCAACATATGAATGGCCATAGACAGTATAATATTTACAAGTTAACAGGCATGCCAACAATACCTGACAGTGATCGGTATGTTCGACTTCTTGACTGATTCTTGCTCGTGTTCTCGAGTTCCATTTCTCATCATGACGTAGCGGTTCTTGAGCTTCTCAGCTGCAGTATCAGACAGCCTCGGCCCACACTTGCTGCAAGAGTTGAGCATTGCACCTATAACTTCGCATGCTATACTTATTAACTTAACATTTTATTGCCAGTGACTCAGGGGTTAAAGATTGTGGAAAGTCAAGCCATAGTCATTTATAATCATTACTGTGAATAATAATTGCACACGTTCAGTGAAATATAACGCTAAGAGTACTTTACACAGTGCCAATGACAGCATTTGTTTCGTGCAAGCACATTTGCTACACCTGATTATGCAAAACCAGCAAGAGACGGAACATCACACATTTTTGAAATGGTACAAAAGTGCCATGTGTGGGCATCATAACATGTTTTCTCAGTGTTATTCTGTGACACCATGTCTGAAGAAATAAATCTCGACTAGCTGTTATGCACTGAACAATCTTAGCTAGCCGACTCCACAAAGCACTGCTTCTACTCATACACAGCCTTACACATATAGTAGTGTACACAGAAACAGAATACATACACACATATCCAGAATGATGCCTTCAAAGAAAGCATTTATTGCAAGGGTCTCAAACACGCTGCTTTCGGGACGAATACGCCGGCCTTTCAGTACTGGCCCGGCCCGAATTTCTTTTCACGACTTCGTGACTGTTTGTGACATTACAAAATGGCTATTTCAATTATTAATGCTTTGTTCAGGTAAGCTAGTGAAACATGACTGGTCTCAAGCATTCTTTTTTCGTGAGGAACTCCATGTGTCCACTATGTCACCATGATTACAACCATAGAACAAAAACTGCAGTAGAATCTCAGTGATACGAATATCAAGAGGGAGCAAAAATGTTCGTATTACCCGAAATTTCGTATCATAGAAAGAAAAAAAAAAGGAGCAAAGCTTGTGTTCAAACTACGATATACCCCTGCTCTAACAACCCCCTACACTGTCCGGTCCTTTGCAGGACTAAATTTCATGACTGTGGCTTACAAGCTGAGGCTAGTTTGTCACCTCTTGTTTATTGCAATGTAAAAAAAAAAAGAACAGACGAATTTGTCGCGTTATTTCACATGCTACAGTGCGAATGTGCTTTTTTACCATCTGCAGAGTTTTTCATTGCACTTTTTTTTCTATTAGAATGTTCTTTGTTGCCTATCACGTGAGAAGATAATAGTAACAGCATAATAAAGAGTGCAGATGCTCAAGGCTAGGCCACTTACTGAAATTGAAAACTTTTCAAAAATCTAGGATGCTTCACTTGCTTTCAAAAAGGCATTCCAATTTGCTTTTTTTTTTTCATATGCTGCATGCGTAGTATTGATGGAGAAGAGTTTTACTGAAAGTGGCTAGATCAATATTCAAAAGTGAATATGCTGTTGAACAGAGCATTTCTTTTAAAAATCACCACTACACATTCCTTACTATATGCAAGTAGTTACTCATATAAAAAACAGTGCAGAAAGTCTTACTCTCGGCAAAAGGAGATGTACTTCTTGAGCACGCTCAAGCTCAACTCTCCTTCTTGCGTCTTCTCGGCAGTTGGCTCAGCGTTCATGTGAATACCAATCACGTGCTTGGCAAGTGTCTGGAACCATTCGAGAGAACAAGATTAGTCTAAAAGCACGATAGATAAAGCTAACACTGAACTTCTGAAAACCACACCTTTATAGAATGCGCATAAGCAATATTTATGTACTTTTTATACAAAGTTCCATGTTTGATTTCTATGTTAAGATACTGTACTTTGTAGGCTTGTGCAAATGGTGAATTTAAGGTTCGAAGTGAATAGTGGTTTTGGTTGAATAATTTCTAATCGAATTCAAATAGTATATATATGGCATATTATAAAGAAAAAAGTCGCAGCTTTGCCGCAAAGGCGAAGCAATGAGCGCGATAGCAACAAATTGGAAGGTCACGCAGAGAACTGCAAGCGGATCGAAATGTGCCCCGCGTTTATCACGCACAAATGACGGACGAAATGTAGTCACAGGTACAGATGAACGCGAATAAACATCTCAGTTGTTACTTTTTTTTTTTTTAACTGCCCAATTTTTCGGATGATTTCGCGGTTCCTAGGGAGTCCGAGAAATAGAACGTTGACCGTATTTATCTTCCAGAAGTTCGAATACTTGAAATCGTCAAACTTCCAGAGTGAATTGAATTGCAAACACTCCTAGAAAAAAATTCAGCATTTCGAGTATTTGGATGTGCCTAATCAAAAAAAGATTCAACCTTTTTTTCTCCTTTTTATCCCTTGAGCCATTCTGACAATGAATTCACCAGCAAGACAAAAATTTTTAAAAATGTATGAGTATACCCTTTGAGGCTTTTCGTTGACAAGAGTTGAGCCTCATTTGCAGCAGTTATACAGTTTTGCTTCAAACGCTAAAGTGACAAGATTAAACTTAATGTCGCCCACTGAAAATTGAGAATGCCGCCCTTATACGATTATTGTTCTCTGTGTTGCGCTCCGCAATAGAACCTCAAGCTGCAAGCAACGTAAAGTTGCAGTTCTTCAGGAAATGAACATACCGAGTCTCTCTTCTCGTCGTGCACATCCTTCACAATGAAAATCATGTCGAAACGTGAGAGGATGGTAGGCATGAAGTCGATGTTCTCGCTCGCCTTCAAGTCGTCCCAGCGGCCGAACACGCTGTTGGCTGCCGCGAGTACAGAGCAACGAGAATTGAGGGTGGTTGTGATGCCAGCCTGTTGAGCAAAACAGGAAAGCCTGATTACTAATGCACAGAATGTAGTCACGACGTTGGAAAACAAGAAATGCCAGGCCTCTCCAGAACACGCGTCACAATCACAGTGAAAGCTGGAAGAGTGGCCTTTCTAGACTACTCTGTTGGGGCAATTGTTACAAGTACAGTTGCGAGGTACCCGCTATCCCATTGTTAGTCATTCTGCAGAGAAATGCAGTACCCGCTACCCGTCTGCAAGGCATTATGCGCACTTTGTCGATGCTGTGACTGGTGGAACGGAATAACTTTAGGTCCCTCGGGGTATGAACTAGCACATAACAGTGACAAAGAATCATGGCTGTACCATTAGTAATGAGTGGGAAACCTTAAACACCCAGTCGTTGTGCAATTAAGATTGTGTGATGCCTGGTGCTTATTTTACTTTTCTACCATGCTATATTACACCTGTTAATAAGATTCCTGGCTGACATGATGCCTGTACAGGCCAATCACGAAGGAGTTCCATGCACTGGCCTGGCACTTTGTGATAGAATACTGGACTACCACGTGGAGGGCCTCGGTTTGAATCCCACTGGATTGTTTTTTCCCCCTCATTGTGTGCGATAGCTTTTATGGACATCAGCAGTGGCGGACAAGTACGCCATTAAAATTGCCTGCTGTTGCGTGATCTCATAACAGCGTTCACTGTAATGCTAATTAGAGAAAGAAGCAAACACTGCACCAAGTGGCAGGAGTGCAAGTTCTTGGCGGTAAATTATTGGTCAGTAAGTCTAGCTTAGTCTCAATTTGAAGCCTAAAACGGTGCTGACCTTGGCTATCGAGATGGTCTGTTGTTCCATAGCCTCGTGGATGGCCACTCGGTCATCCTCTCGCATTTTGTCAAACTCGTCGATGCAGACGACACCGCCGTCAGCCAGCACCATCGCGCCACCTTCCATGACAAAGCTGCGCTGCAGTGAAAACACCCACAGATCATCCACTGTGACACACGCAGCAAGAAGTTGTTCAGTTACTGGGCCCAAACCAGTTAGTGAAAAATTAGAAAGTTTCTAGGTGGCTGTATTATACTACTCACAGTGGATGGGTCCCTGATGACAGAGGCTGTGAGACCGGCAGCGCTGCTGCCTTTACCAGAGGTGTACACCTGTAGTGAGCATTATGAAACAAGTGTTACACTCGACTTGGCACAACTGCTATCCTCACATTCCAGCACCAAGTATCCCTACAAGCCCGTAATATACATCTTAAAATACACGCCTGTTCAAGTACTGCAGCGCTGTGAATGGGTACAGTGAAACTTGGGCTTTCTGCTGCACATGCTATTGCACTGTCAAGAACGGTTTGTCTAACGAACAGGCTCTTACAGCAATGGGGGCCACGCGTTCCACAAACTTCAACAGCTGACTCTTGGCAGTACCGGGGTCGCCAAGAAGAAGTAAGTTGATATCACCTCGCCGCCTCAGACCATCTGGAAGCCTGAACAAAAATGTTTAATCACATGAGCTTGGTGAACAACAAACAAAAATACAAGGTGGTAATCATTATTTTACTCAGAATACCTTACAGGCCCAACAGGGCATTGGGTAAGGGGAGAATCAAAAGAATATACTGTATTCACTTGAGTCATGCACGCACTCTCATATTAAGCACACCCCCAACTTCAGTCGTCAGAATCTGAATTTTTTTTCCTACAGCGTAATAAACGCACCCCCTACATTCGTCCCCTGCAGTCATGCTAACCAACACCCGGTGCCTCCTTGTTCCTTGGATCTCTTTGTTTTATTATTATGATGGCCCCCTTCAGCCACCGTGGCTGGCTCCCTCTTCCCAGGTCGCCCGCTGCCACACGCCGTATTGTTCTTTGACCTGGGCGCGGCACATCCAGTCTTTTCTTTTAAATCAGTGCACCACAGTGAGTTTCAAGAACGGTGCGAGTGGAGAGACATTGCAGCTGATAAGCACACAATGAGCGAAGGTCACGAAACTGCCCGCTCCAACTGACAGTCGCTTTTTGCAAATACGGAACTTTAAGGCCCACCCACGCCTGTGATTTTCGAGTGACGACGACAGGGTTTACTGTCAACACTGCTGTTGCGAAGGCATCATTAGTCGTCCGTCGCGTCGCAGGTTTCTGGAAAACCAGGAAAAAATCTCTAGTTGCCCAAAAAAATCGTGACGATTTTTGCCACATGGTAGCACTACCCCGATTCTCGCTCCGGCTGCAATTTGCTCATCATGCTTGTTATCTGTGTGTACTTCAAGGAACGCAAGATATAGGCTACCCTTTCTAGCAGAAACTTCTCATGTGAACAGCGATACAGCAGCCGCATTTTCTTGTTAATTTTGTTATCATCAGTTTGTTTTGAATGCTTCGATGGTAGCTTGGTGCAATGTCAACGGCGTCATCGCAATAGTCATGCGAGGTTGCCACGAAGTCGGCAAAGTGCATCGTAGCCTCTTAGCACACCCTTCTGGGCGCCCCTCGAGATCACAGCAGACAGCACTTTTTGCGGCTCAACGATTGCGAGAAAGAGAAGCCACGGTTATGCTTTTATGGGGTGAGTGGAAGGCTTGCAGAAGATAACGCCTTCAATCACTGAAGATGAGTGAAGTGCAACAAAGAAGCTGTTTCCAAACAGTACGCGTATGTATATCGCAAAAGGCTAAGCAACCCAATTTTTTTTTGGCTCGGAAAGTACTTCATTTTTTGCTCATCCCGGAAAATTATTCATAAAACTTGCCCTGCATGGTAAATTAAGCCCCAACTTTGCCCAGATTTCTTTTTTTTTAAAGTGTTCCTTAGGTAAGTAAATATGGTATATACGCGACTGTGCACAACTTATATGCTAGCAATAACGTAAGAAAAAACTGTCAAAGATTATACAATGCCTAACAGCGACAATGATGAAAAATATAAAAATAATAGAATAGCAACAAAACATATTACACATGTGAGATATTGACTGTAAAATAGGCTATAACAAGTAAACACAATTTCTAAAATGATGTTGAGTTATTAAAGTCAAAAACAAAAACATTGCTCAAGGTTACACATTGAATTGAAGGCATGTTAGCATGAAATAAAGCCTCTCGAATTCTGTTGTGCCAGAGGCACCCTGAACAAGGGCGAGAGAAGGACGCAACATACTTCAGGTTTCAACACGCTTCAGCCTAAACGCAGTTTATAGCTTGAAGAAAATTTGTAAAAGGTATTCACCCGAGTTTTCAGCCAACAGAAAATTCATTTGTGAAAGAAAAACAACTAAGGGAATTTTAGTCAAATCTCAATCGTTATAGAAAATAACAAAATAACCACTACCTTACTGAACTGCCCACACCTGCAACTTCATTTGAGTGCACTGTGTGTTCGGCGACATAAAAGGTGCTACGAGACCCTCTGCTGCTTTAGCTCTTCCAGCGCACAATTTGCCCGCCCACAAGCTTGCGTTTGTTCTAACTGCACATAACTAGGGACAGTTTGTTTTTACAGCTTTTGCTTTCTGCATAATATGACTTGTGTTGCAGGTATTTTGCCACACAGCATGACATGAACAGATCAGAAGAAATCTGTGGACATGTCGGCAAAGAACAAAGAAATGCGCCTCCTTACCTTTTCACGGAGCCTCCAAAGAGCAGACATGCGATGGCCTTCTTCACATCGGCAAATCCGTAGATGGACGGCGCAATGCTGCTGGCAATGCGCTCATAGATGTTGGGGCTACTCGCCAGGTGGCGAAACATGTCTTCTTCATCGGGTGTCAGCATGGTGCCCCCGACTCTACCCGCGCCCTCCGTGTTCACGGCAATGCCCACGACTCGAAGGTATGGTGCGCGAATGCCGATGTTTGACTTCTCTTGAGGTCCTTTCTGAAAATATTCGAGCAAGGCACAGTTCTCCTCAGTTTATCGGCAGAAAGGATGCAATGAACACTTTTATAACATCACAAGGCTGACTGAGCTAGTGGGTGCAGATCCAACTTTTTCCTGACGAACACTATTTCAAAAATTCAGAAAAAGGGCGGTTGCTGCAATCGCATGCAACTTCATAAAGAATGAAATCTTGTGTTAGTTTCAGAAACAGATAAAAACTCGAATAGAGTTCATACATGGGCAAAAATATGCAATCAAAATACAAGTTATCATTTAAGTATCTTCAGCTCCTTTGTGTTCTCTGGTGCTATTTGTCAAGTCCATCAGACCCCTATACAAAGCTGAATAAAAATTTGCAGAAAGATCAAAAGATCAAAGTCTGAAATGATCAACAGCAGGAAAATAAAATGAAAGTGTTAGGCTGGAGCTATTGTTTTTGCAATAGGATTTCGTTGAAACCCTATCTGTTTGTGTTAAGCCTACCGTAATGTAAGACCAACACCTTTTCTTCAGACATAAATGCTTTATGAAAAAATTTTTTCTTCTCTGACAATTGATCCTTTAATTTATGGCATCAGGTATCACTTGATATTATCGTCAAATGTTTGTAGCAATGTACAACGTGTATGGAACTAATTATGACTAAAGAGGGTTCTGTCGAGGTAGTAATCTCCAATAAATGACGCAGCATGTTGCATCAATAGCAGAAGCTATGGCAAACAGACTGAAATTGATCTGCAGTGCTGAACTTTGTATAAGAGCGTACAGCTAATGCTAGTACTGCTTTGTACATTCGCTGTTGTAGAGGGCACGGACAATCGGAGCTGTGCCACGTCGTTATTCCAAAAATGAAGTGCAGATGACAGTTGGTTGTCCTATGAAGACAGCTCTAGGCCTAGTCTTCCCTCATCCACCCATCCTTGTTACATTACACAAGGCATGATTCGAAAGGCCACAAGTAAACGGTCCACCTTGTTTGGACGGCCAGTCTTCTTGATCGAGTAGACGCCAATGGCTGTAATCCTGTTGCCAGGCACAACACGTTCGCAGAGGTACCTGCAACATAAATAAAATGGGAGAAAAACAGTTACAGGTGGGCAAGACGTACCGGTCGTTTGAGTACAGTTCACTAGACTATCAAAAAAATTGAACAAGTATGCACTATTGTCTCATCTTCAGTGGTTATACAGAAGACTCTCAGCACACAGAAATGTGTTAAACGGAACTACTGCTTAAACGAAACTGTTGTCTCTGCAATGCTTGGTTTCGGGCTTGTATTCTGCACCCATGTTCACCTCTCAGTAAAGTGAACTCGTGCTAAGGCAGCAGACTGGTCTTTGGGACCAAAAAGTGACAAAAAAATTCATTTTTTAAAATTGCCATATTTGGTTTCTGCAAGTATTTGTCTATCTCTCTGCAAATTTTCACACACCAGGTAGTGGTATTTTTAATGACATTCTAACTGTCCAGACTCTTGGTGCTGTTAACATGCAGAACCTGCAAAAAAAAAAAAAAATGGGGCACAGACTTCGAGGCTTCTTTATAGTTTGCCTGCACCTATGTTAGAAGCTCTGCTACGAATTTATGAGCACCTTTATGAGGATTGCAAAACATGCGCACCATGATTGTTGCTTTTTGAAGAAGCTGTGTGTTTTGAGTTTTTTCCAGTTTTCTCAAAAAAGTTAATTTACGGCTGTTCAATTTTGAGGCCTCAATATCTCTGCAGCTAGAGCAAGTATAGGAGCAGAATGTAAAGCACGAGCCTTTTTAATTAATTACTCATCAAAATTGTAACACAATTCCAACTGCTTTTGAAAATGGATAGTTCATTTTGTTGTCAAATAACCAAGAAAAGCCTAAAAACAAAAAACTCTTGCATACTTTCAATCTATAGTCATTAGTCTATGTTGGCATATCCTAAATATTACTTTTAATTAAGCACTTTTTTATGGTGACCTTAAACGATAGGGGTTAACTTCAGTTATCTTAGGATAGATGAGTTACAGGAAAACTAATTAAATATTTGAAATCAGCAGGAAAAAATGCATAATCGTATGCAGTTTGATCAAGATCACTGAAGAAATAAACAAAAAAGTGTCTAAGACCAGTCTGCCCTCTTAAGTGGAACATTTTCCTGGTCCCTTCAGGTTCCTTTTACTGAGAGTCTGCTGTACTACTCCATGCTCATTTAGCAGTAATACTTATTTATACCTGTTCATTCAGAATACCTGCAGGGATCATTACAGAGGGGAGCGGGGAAAGAATATGCAAAAGTGCAAATAACATACAGCAGGTTACAAGAAATTACATAATACAGCCAAACATCGTTATAGCATGCCTCAATATAACATTCTTTTTCAGATTATCTACTTTTTCGAATCCCCCTCCAAATGTCCATTGGTTTAAAGCAAAAATATTTCATTACAACAAACTTCAGAATTCTGAATATTTCAGAATAATGTATTGAATTTTATCCGCCTTACATCTTCCCAACACTTCAAAATAACGAATAGCAATTTCAAGAAGTTACTTGCGGCTGTAAAAATAACGGCAGACTCCGTAGCTGCCACTATCATCATCATCAGGACGCTAGTATATTTCTCTATCTGCCTTCTCTATTTAAGTGTGCGATAGCCATATCGCCATCATCATCAATTGTAACTTGTTTTACGCATCAGGCTTCACCCATGCCTCACCTCGTTGCTTTTGTTTTTGTCAGGCAGCTTGACCTGCGCTGCTTTCTAGCCTTTTTGTTTGTGGTTGAACGTTCAAGACAAGCTCCGGAAGCAGCACGAAATGAATGCTACGACAGTGAAAATTGCAACACAAGTGATCTTTTGAATGAAGTCGCCAATAATTACCCGTGCAAGCTTCACTAACGTTTTACACAGTGCAACCATGAAGCAGTCACGTGAGCTTAGCTGATGAGTGATAAGATCCGTACCGTATTTACACGATTGTAAGACGACCCTTTTTTTCAAATTTGACAATCCAATGTTGGGGGGTCGTCTTAGAATCGAAATCGAACCATGTACCTTAGAATCGAAATCGAACCATGTATAGTCATCTCGAATAGTTTCCCGCTCAACCCAAAGCGCATAGTTTTCCGCGTGCTTATACAAAAGCTTTTCTTTTTTTAGCATCTACTGCGCGCATTACGAGTGCCTTTATGACGAGCGCACGGCTCTTGAGGGAGCACCGGTAATCGATGGAAGAGCCGCCGTAGGGGGGTATTGGTAGTTGACGGAAGAGCTCCTCTTTGGGATACAATTTTCTAAGCGGGCGCGTCGCCGCGTGCTCCTGTCGCTTGTGTCCACGACCGGCTCTCTCGAGTCACTTCTGTCTGACATGAGTGCCGTAGGCTCGAAGAACACTCGGCGCTCGTTTACGGCAGCGTTTAAGCGGGCTGCTATTCTTCATGCGGAGGAAACCAACAACTGTGCAGCAGGACGGAAGTTCGGAATCGGTGAATGTGTGGTGCGGAAGTGGCGGCTACAGCGCGAGGAAAGTTTCTCGTGCGACTCCAAGCGCCGTAGCTTTCGCGGGCCGAAGTCTGGCCGCTTTTCGGAACTAGAGGCGAAGCTTGCGGCCTACGTGACTGACCTACGCGATCGATCGTTGTTGGTCACCTGCGAAATGGTCACGCAGCAAGCCCGTGTCTACGCTATGACGGCAGCAGCACCAGCGAGGACTCCAGCGACGATGAATAATCCTCCGCAACCGCGTGAATAAATTTCCCTTGTGTAAAATGCGCGCATTCTTTTTTTTTTTTTTTTTTTTTTTTGAGATGCGATTTTGGGGGGGTCGTCTTACATTCGAGTCGTCTTACAATCGTGTAAATACGGTACCATTTATTGCGATAAGAAAACGGCGACGAGAGCGACGATGACGTTTCAACAGTGCGCACGAACCAACATGAAGGATCGGTATTAAACGCTGATGCTTTGCAGTGTGTAAGAAAGATGCACACGCTTAAGAGTTTGCTTTCCAGCAGTTGAGCTGCCCACATCAGGATAGATTGTACTTTTCCTCAAATAAACGTGCGCTGGTTCCATAATATTTTGTGGTTCTTTTTTTGCGCCTATTTGAGCAAAACGCGGTCATGAATATATACACAGCACAGGTAAGCAGCTCATGTGATTGCTTTTACGATTTTCGCACAAATTTTCTATAGTTTCACTACGACTTTTCATAATAGCAAATAATTTTTAGCGGTCCCTTGATATTTGTTGTATCAAGATTTCACTGCATTACAGTAAAATCTCTATATAACGAACACCACTTTAACAATTTTTTAAAAATCACATGCCAACTGCTAATAGTTTCAATGTAAAATTATTTTACTACTACATATTTCAGAATACCAAACTTTTGGAATAACGAGTGATAATTTAGTTCCACGCTATATTACTAATGCCTCAGTACTACGAACTCATGTTCTGAAATTTGTCGCGACCACCGGAGCGGTGCGCAAGCAGACGACAAAGCGAACGGACGCCTTGCTTCTCGGAAGACGTGCGACGGTGTGGAGGAAAAAAAACGAAAAGACGACTTTCTTTTTATTGGAACGCCGACGTTGCAGGTTTACAAGCCCAGAGATGAGGGCAACACGGGAGGGCAAGGTCAGCGAGGCAGAGTGGGAGTTGCGGAGCGGAAAGCATGAGGATAGTGGTAGTGCGAGAACAGAACGACAACAAAGAGACAAGAAGAAGTTCTGTTCTCACGCTATAACTATCGACATGTCATACCAATTAAGCCCAAACCGCCACACTTCTAAGGAAAGCATGGGCACGGGAAAACTGAGACAGCAAAAGAGCAGAAAATGAAATGTGAGGAACTTTCTTTTTCATCTCTTTCTTTTCTTCAGAAGAGGCGATGACAGCCGCGACGCTTTAGGTTTTTTTTATATTTGTCACTTCTATATGTGATCTAGGAAGCCAAAGGGGTATAGGTGTTCTCTAAGGAGGCCTCGTCAGTCGTGTTCATCTTTTCGATGATTACTTGTCGCGTTCGCAAAGCAAATCTGCGTTCCCGCTGGGGTGCTACTACAATGAGTTCAACTCTGCTTGCGACAAAGAAGCGGAAGAAGTTTTTGCTGAGGAGAAAGTGGAGAATGTGAATGAGATGGAGGCCTTCGCTCTGCAAAGACTGTGCTGCACTCATTAAAAAAAAAGAAAATCACAGACTTCTTTAAGGAAACGTACATTTTTCAGGTCACTTGCACATTTGTTTTCTATAGTGAAAAACGAGTTCAAAGAACCACCATTGTAAAAGTAAGTAGTTTCGGCCGGTGGAAAATAAGTATTTATGGTTCATTTCTGGGCTTTCACTATAACGACCTTTCAAAATAAACTTGCCGCGGTCCCCTGAATTTCGTTATACCGAGATTTCATTGAAGCAGAAGGTTAAAAAATGTTCACAATAATTCACAGATAAATCCCCAATAGATTAAAAGCAGTTATACAAGTACCGTATTTATTCGATTCTACCGCGCCCTCGATTGTAACGCGCACCCGATTTTCACCGCGAAAAAAAAAAAAAAAAAAACGTAAGACATCGATTGCAACGCGCACCCATTTTTCTCGCTGGCCCGCACGATCACACCACTCGAAAAAACAACTCCTTTCGGGAGCGTCTTCCATTTAAATATAAGGTACGGGCAAAGCTTGTGCCCATCTGACGTGTAACAGAGCATTGCCGTCACTGTAGTTTTACCGTGGACCGATGTCAGCACGCGAACTTGCTTCGCCCCCTTCTTCTCGACGGTTGTGGTGCCAGGCATGTCGAAGTAAAGAGGCGTCTGATCGGCATTCCTGATTTGCTCAAGCAGGTAGCCGTTGTTGCGCCGCAAGTTTAGGACGAACCTCTGAAAACTGTGAAGCTTTTCATCGTACTCCTCCACAAAACTTTTCGCATATGCATGTTCCCCTTCGAAGGGAAAAGCCTTTCCTCTTCATAAAGTTAGTTAGCCAGCACCTGCCTGCTTTAAACTGGCTCCGCATTAGACCTTTTTCTAAGACTAATTGCATAGCCCGCACTTGGAGCAGTTCTGTCGTCACGGGCCGCTGTGCCGCTCGCTGCTCAAGCACATACTCGCCGAGCAGCTCTTTAATTTGCGGAAACCGACCCTGCTGTGGTCCACTGAAGCCTTTGAGTGAAGCTTTGCTGTCGACAATCTTCTGCCGGTCCCGCACGCACGTTTCGGGAACTCCGAACGACCGCGATGCGGCCCGATTTCCGTCCGTCTCTGCACACGCGATGACTTTTCTTTTAAAAGCGGCATCGTGGTGCACTCGAGTTTTTGGAGTTGGCGCTACCATGCCGTCGATACTAATGTACTACAAGATGACGAACTCCTCAGCAGACGTACGAAGTGCCGCACATGGGAAACACATAGGCAGAAATGGCGGACACGCCATGCCGACGCACGTAGGGGGCGGCCATTTTGGACTTGCCGATGGCAATAGATTGACCGTAATTTTTTTGTTCGTACTCGATTCTAACGCGCATGCAATTTATGAACTCGCTTAACCGGAAAAAAGGTGCGCGTTAGATTCGAGTAATTACGGTACTAGTAGCACAAAAAGAAAAGAGAATGCTGATTTTCATTATTAACTAAAGTGCAAAATTCACTGTATAAAGGAAGATAAAATTCACATAAGCAATAATGATGGTCACCTGATTAGATGTTTATGTGTGAACAGCTGTGATCAATATTCATTCCACAAGTACTGCCAAGAAAGTGTTGGGACATCTTAATTTATGTATGTAGATAAAATCGAATATACATAAGTGAGAACGATGGTCATCTAAGTAGATGACTTTGTGAGAACAGCTGTGATCAATAGTCATTTCACAAGTACTGATAAGAAAGTTTAGGGTCAAGCTCCTAAATTATGACCATAATATGACCATAGAAAGTAATGTCATGTTCTGCACCTGCCGCCCTGGCTATGAGAAACACTAAAGTGAACTAAGACCTGTAATTGACCCTAAGCATAGCACAATATTGCCAAAGCCACTAACTGACAACACAAAAGATACGCAACAGACTCATTCTTCAAGTCAGCATTGCGACCACTAGATGGCAAGAAAACTCGTACCGGTCGCAGTATAGCTGGAGGTGTCGAGGCATTTCGCCATAGGGCACCTCTTCGGGAACCTCCTGCAGCTTGAGCACTTGAAAGTCAACGCACTTGCACTTGTCGGGAACAATGAAGAACGGATCTACGGGACACTTGGGCTGCCCAGCACGATCGCTGTGAAACAAAGGACATTTTAGAAAGGATGCTGTGGCCTACTCCTTATCAGAAGCATGCAGGGGGGAGGTAATGAACGTGCACACACATTATCATAAATTACTTCACCAACATCCAATGAAAATTTCATCTTCCATTTTTGTGCAATGCTGTAGTGAATTCTTGTTTAGTTTGAAGAAGTGCAATATGCGGCTAAGTTCCACACACAATTGGATTCCATAGAGTTAGATAGAACTTGGCTATATGTTCATCTTCACAAAGTTTGCCCAAGCAAGAAATCCCGGTGTGCACTAGAAAGCAGTCAAAGGTAGCCCATGTTTCTGCCCCTGTTACATCATGTCTGGCCCTTACGCCATGCGATATTAATTGTAAAAGTGGCCCAACTGTTCAGCCAAATGAAGAGCCCAGCCTACCGCACCTCAAATTTGAGGGTGTGCACCTTTTGCACTTAGCTCTTTCGTTACCGCGCGAGAATGATTGTTTATTATATGTCTCGGGAAGATCGTTTTTGCCAGTTTGAAAAGTACTCCAGCACGCACTGCAGCATACCAAACTTTGCAGAATGAAATGATCTTTCCAAAAATTATTGGTTGTAGAGCAAAATATTTTAGAATGAATAAAAATGTGAAAACTGAAAATTTTCGTCACCGGCTGGGAAACAGCGAAATAAAAAACACTATATATGCAAAAATATTCAAAACAAAAAAAATTAAGGACATACATATTGTAGAAAAATGACCAAGAAATAGTACGAAACTAATTAATGACGTACAAAATGCTTCTCTTCACATAGACAAAAAAAAAAAAAAGACAGAACCGAGGCGCTGCTTCATAGCTCAGGCCATGCGGTGAAGAATGATAGCATGGTTTTTGCGAGAAACAAGTGTACTCGTACACTGTTCTCAGTAAACTTTTATTGCCTCGCATAAGAGTATCTAAGTATTCAAATATAGATGTATACCCGTGATGTGAATAATCCCTCTATAAATGAGATGTCCAATGAACTTCGCTATTTATCTAGCGTTGTCTCTTTCAATGAGCCACCTCACTCCGCATAGGTTGGCGTTACAATATATGCATCTAAGCATATTCCTTTGCATCTTTGCGCATATCGTAATAAAAAAAGGACAACACAGAGTGCAGTTCGAAAATGTTTCGCACTGCTCCGTAGTCAGGGCCGAGATTTGTTCCGGGGGGGTGTTCTTGCTGCTAGGAGAAGCTTTGCAGCCGGCGCCGCCACACCGTGTCCTAGCAAAGTGTGGACCACGCACGTAACCTGAGTAACTATAAGATTATGCACAAAGATCAGAAGCTACATGCACTTGCGGTGCAGGAGATAACTTGAGGATTTAAAGGAAACTAACCCATGAAGGGCGACTGATGTCTCAGGCTGATGCAAAGCATCCTCCCCATAAAACTTAAAGCTGAGGTGCCGTCATCGACCAAATCTCAGCTCGTTCTCATTCAATTCAGGTGTGGTCGCAAGACAATTTCAAGCAGCGTATGTGTTTTGCAGCGCTGATGCGCACCCATGCGCGCATAATTACCGCGTAATAGGAGTGACTAGTGACACTAAATGTGACCCTGTGTCTGATATAACAATACGAGCAAAACCAAAGCGGCTGGAAACTGGCTGCGAGAATCAGCTGCACACTTTATACATGTGGCGGACCTTGGGAAATATTTATTTTGTTGAATTAATTTTCCCTGACTTCTAGCAACAGCTCTCTATTGATTAGCTGGCATGAATTTCCGACATTTATTACTGCACAACTCTGTCAAATTGCGAAGCTGACACATCAATTTGCTATTTGGCTTGCAAAGTTTCTTTTCATTACAGAACTTCGATGTTACTTAAGCATAATCGCAAGGGGCACGCACTTCTGTCAAGTTCGCCAACCTAGTGCATTTTTCCAACAACACACGCACATTAGTTTGCGCAAAAGTCTGTAAAAAATTGCTATGTTGCCCAAGTCCGCAAATTAAAAAAAAATTCTGAAACTTGAGTGGCTCAACTGACTACTAGAGAGGGCTGGGTGCACGAGAAAGAAATTTACCGTGCCAAAATCGAGTACCGAAAAGCGTCGATCACCGGTGATCAATTTGAATATACGTGGTAACTAAAGAGTTAAGTCTACCTGCATTCATATAGGAGAATATCTCCAGTGAAGCAACTGCTTTGTCAAGGTAATTTTAGCAGGGCACGTAGAAGTGAAACATGTCTCCAGTAACTGCACCTGTTGCATCTGCGTGGCAGGGCATAGCCTTCAAGGCCAGGCCTGACTGACACGTTGGGCACAGTCTCTCGACACGAACGGCACTGCAGGGTGATGCTGGTTGCCTTGGCCTTGGTTCCGGTCGCAGCAATCACAATGCCCGGGACCTTGACAAGCCGGGAAACTTGGTCAGACTGTAAGAAGAAAACAAAGAAGATCAGAAAACAGTCGTCCTTTAAAATCTTGTATACTAACAAGTGTTGCAAAAGTTGCATAATAATGAGAATGAACAGAAGTGACTTTGGATGAATCGGTTGGCTAACTCCACTTTGCGAGTTTTGTAAATTAGCGGCACAGTGCGGCGGGCTTTATTTAAGACAACACCAGGCTGAAAAGCTTTCTGCTTTCAGGGAAATCAAAGCAGAAATGCACTGTCTGCAGTAATGTCCGACCAAGAGAAACTTTAGTTGTATCTCCTCCAGTAGGAGGACGTGTGGCAATGCATAACCAGTAGCCCACCAGAGATGTTCTTTCTATTCTGATACACACACACCACCACCAAGCTGAAAGAGACTCATGAGGACGCTTAGTTAGGCAAGCCGGTTCACGTTCACCATCACAAGGTATATCTGCATACAATGAAAGTCCGGAAAGTAACGTTAGTCTAAAAACAACTTTCGTAAGCTAACGTTTACTAATGGGAAGTAAAACTGCGAACAATGTATAGATGCATAGACGTGTGTTTCTTTACTGCTGTCCCAATATTGCCTAAAGTGCCACTTTCCAGCTGTCTAATTTATTTGGCTTCAAACTTCTAGGGTGGAATACAGTGCCACTGTAAGCTCAACGGGGAAATTCGTTTTTATTTTGGTTCAAGTGTTCAGAAAGCGTACAGTCATTGTATCTGTCAGTGCTAACATGTGGGGCAACAACCTGGCCAGTAGCAAAAAAACTGGAGAAGCCAAAGACAACACAGCATGCAATGGAACGAACAATGACAGCGATATGAAGACAGCAGCATCGATCAGAGAACAAAAAAGGGCAGCTGATAGCTTACTAGATATTAGGAAAAAAAAAGGATGGATGTGGGCAGGCCATGCCACGAGAGGACACATTATTGATGGTCTCTCAGAGGGTCAGAATGCAGACCAAGAAATGAGGAGCGCAGCTGAGGACTGCAAAGGGTAAGGTGGACCATCTATATCAAGAAATTGGCATACGTAAATGGAATTGGCTCGCTCGGGACAGGGAGGGTTAGAAACTGTTGGAACAGGCCTCCGTGCTGCAGTGGACATTAGACAGGTCAATGATAATGATTGTGAAGCATTATACTGCAGGGGCTCGCCTTAATCTCGCGCATGGGGACGGGATGAGCTTCCGACTTGAGCAGCACTTGTATGTCGGCAACATCCTCCTCTCCTTCGGGGCGCGGTCTGGTCACCTCATCCGCTACTTCCTTGGCCGCTTCTTCCAGCTGTTGAGAAAGGAGACTTGTGAGCAAGGTCAACATGTTTGCCGATCCACTGTGAGCACAACAGAAGTACCGAAAACGTGTTAAAAGCAGTTTTTCAAGTTATATTACCATAACCTACGCTTTATTTCCTCGCATGTTGTTTCAATTCGTAGGGCTCATGGTAATTCAAAAGCACCGAATTTCACAAAATGGCAGGACTACCTTTGCTATTGAGACATGACGTTTGCTGTTGCGGATACAAAGATCAGGTTTACAATGCAGTGGGCGGAACATAATTCTTTGCGATGCTACTACATAAGATTAAGATCAATGAACAATGGCAGCTTTATGTGACAGGAAAGATAATATATTTTACAGTTAGCTTGAATCAACTTTAGTCAAGTTTAATGTCCGTTAGTTTCAATCTTCAAAGCAGTATTGGAATACTTGAAGAGCCATGTGGGTGAGTCAGTTAATGCACACTGTCAAATTTTATGCAAGAGAACACGCGACCACGTGGCCTGCACGCCCTGGTGGCTGCTGGCAGTGCGTTCAACCATGCTTTTCAACACATGCTAATATTTTAGTAGACGTAATTCTTCCCTTGGTGTTATGAATTTACCCATAGCGATTTTCCACATGTCACTGACACGGGCCTGAGAATTTTTCACCTGCATGTATATATATTCGTGCATTCTTGCCATGAATCAGCACTCATGGACATCCATCCTTGCCTTTCGTACTACACTTCATCACTTTTTTTTTCAGCACTTATGTGTTTGAACTGCAAACTCTTCAATGTTGAAAGTAAGCTTTCCTTAAGTGCTATGTAGGCTTTCATTTCACGAGTTACATATTACTAATAAACAGGGACTTATAAATATACATGAGGTTACACGGTGGCAGGAACATAGAGTATTTAGAAAAAATGCCGATTAACTTGGAAGGCCACAGGCAACTTGATACATAGTTTGCTCTCAATCACGGACAAGGATTGAAAAGGAGTGCCTAAGTAGAAGAAAATGTCGCACAGGATAATAGCACCATCTCTCGTTCACTCTTGTAGTTATATAAGGTTAAAGGAACACTAAGATTGAACAGTTAATCAGTTCATATTGATAAATTGTCCTCTGAGAACCCTCATAATGTCAATTTCACCACCATAGCTTGAACAATAAAGGAAAAAATCAGGGTCATTTCATTTTTAAACATTACAATGAAATTGCCACACATGACATCACAAATTCCAAAGCGTGCCTATTTTCAGTACATTGGCCCAATGCGATTTCCTGAAACTTGGAATGTTAGGTCTGTGGCCCACTTGGAACACATTGTACCTCATTTTTGCAGGTTAGGAATTATGCAGGACCTAGCAGATGTCATCGAAATATATTGCGTCACAGCATCTTTTGTGGGAACTTCCAGGTGGTTTCGCCATGTGAATTTTCTTTTAGCACGTTTTCTCACTTACGAAGTGTTTTCTTGCAGCAAGCACGGCGATTGCAACATCCTGAATGAGTAATTTTTTAAATTAAGAAAAATCACTGTTCTCTTTCAGTCTCTTTGAAGGTTCAATGGTATTTGCTTTGACAGTACTCCCTCTGTTGGCCCCCGGTAGCTTATCACAACCACGATGAGACATCTTCCATGCTCACCAAAGGCAGGTGCTCGGTTGGCTGCTTGCTCAGCTTGTCGGCGAGCACCTCGTCAAAGCTGGAGATGTCCTCCACGGCCACTTCGAGCCAGTACTGGCCCATGTTGTAGTGCTGCTTGAGTTGGTCTCTGCGAGGAAAGGCAGAGATGTTGACGAATCGCTGTATGTGCGCATATTCAGGGGAACATGCTATAGTGTAGAATTCTTTCCTTTTTTTTGCGAAAGCCTGCTCTTGGGCATAATGAGATTCCTGTTTGCCAAAGCGAACACTGATCCACTTGTTGAAGCATTGGCTCCAGCAGGATCATGTGTTCAATGACTTCTCAGGGTTTAGAAGGGCTGTTTTAGACCAGTACATGCTACTGTGCGAAGCCACAGTCTGAATGCAAATACATTGGGAACAGTAAATGCACTAAAGGGCGCAACTTACCCTCTTGTAGCATTAGCAGTGCTCTTCTTTTAGAAGGTTTTACATGACAACTATAGTATAAGGTACGACGCACACCGTAATGGGAGACAACACATTAATTTTGACTACTTGAGGTTCTTTATTACGCGCCGAAGTATTGGTAGACATTAGCCGCGCTTTTATAACGGAGGGAAAAAAAACGAAGAAGCAGATGTCGGTGTCGTCTGTGTTCCTGTTTGAACAGCAGTCGATAACATTTATGCGCAGAAAGCCACAATAGTTTACGAACCCGTAATTGGCGAAAACGAAGCGGGAAAGTTCGCGAGAAGCCTAGGGATGTAGACTCGAGTAGTCTTCAATACGTTTCTGCCTTCAGACAGCAATTTTTGTGACCTGGGTATGGCGATCGACTAAATTATAAGCGAGGTGTCGCAGAAACGTTAGTGTGCTGAAAAGCTGCACAAGTTTAGCATGAGGATGTGGTTACCGGGCCTAACGCAATAACAGCGTAATAACTTCCCCAAATAAGCAGCAAGTTAACATCGCCGTCAATGACCTACTTCGAACGGAACGCAGCATTTCACTCATACTCAGTGGACTCGGAAGGCGTACAGAGACGGCATAAGCGGTATCAGCCAAAATTAAATGGCAGGCTAGAGAAGCACCGGGTTGCGCCGCGTGCGTACAGTTATCGATTTCGTTTCACCATTGAACACGAACGGAACGGAAAGTAGTTATCTCCCGAGATCGTGCGACTACGCAGTAATCATCCTCCCATTTTACGTGCGTAACATTTTTTTCCAACCTTCGATGCGCTTAAGAAATACATATTCTAATCACGAGATCAAGGCGCACGGCTGTGGCGCGGTGGATTACCTGTAACGGTAGTTGAAGTTTCCTTCGTGAAATTTCCGCAGGAAGTCGCGGAAGCGACGCTTCACGGCCTGCAGGTTGACCTGGCTGTCATCCTGAGTGCTTTCCGAGCTGAAGTTGTCGCTGAAGAAGACTCCGCCGTCGTCGAAACCAGCCATCGCTTGTTAACAAGACTGGTGGATTAGCGCGGGAGCAGACAATGCGCGCCCAACTTTTGGCGCGAAAACGACGGGTGATTTAATCGATCGTCGCGCCGTCTGCGAGCTTTCAACAATGTTGTGACCTCTGCGATCAGCACCGAAAACAAGGTCAATATTGAAAGCCGTAATAACAAAAGTTTGATGATAAAGTTTATTATATTGCACCAATACTCAATATAATAAATAAATAATTTAAAGTAAATAATGATAAAGAATATTGATTGCAGAACATTATGCTATAGAGATATTGTGGCCTCTGCGATTGGCACCAGCAACAATGTTAATCTCAAAAGTCACAATAACAAAAAGTTTGCTTGTAACCTTATTATATTGCACCAATGTAAACCAGATTAACAAATAAATTTAAGTAAATAATGATAAAATAATTTGTACGCAGAACAATATGCTTGAACATAAAGCGAGTATTGACCAATCACGGGTGAAGCGCCCCTTGCGTCACGCTGCCGATGCCGCCGTCTGGTCTGGGTCTGCGTCGTCTGCGACATCGTTGTCCACGCGCTGAGCCCAGCTAACGATAGAAGAAGAAGAAGAAGAAAAAAAATTATCTGCCGCTTTTGGCTTCGTGGTGTGCGAGTTTGTTTCGCGTCCCGTTAGGACGTCAGAAACTTTACGGGGCCTTCAGCTATGACGTGAACGAGATTGGAGAGCGTCGCGGAAGACAGAAAAGCTACTGCCACTCCGGAGACCAAGGCGGCGTCAAGCATCGGAGAGGAAACGTTCGCTTTGCTTTTTTGTTTATTTCCTACCTTCAGGTAAACAAAACGCTTTTACTCTCCTATCGACATCGAGGCGTTGTGTTCTCGAGTCGTGTCGGCTGCCGGACTCCGCGAAGCAATGCTTCAGAATGGATTTTCTCGTGGAACGTGCCGATTCCGGCACACTACCGAAAGCGTAGCATGGGTGTTGAGTTTCGTCGGGTTTCGTTCGCGGCAGGTACGCTCGCTCTCAGAAAAAAAAAAAGAAAGAAAAAAAATACGCAATAAACTGCTTCCGATGGAGCGGACGTTCTTCGCCTTGTTATGATCGAAGTTGCAAGGTCACGCAATTGCGGTTATCGCGTGTTTTCCTCTTTCCGAAGGGCGTACAAAAAAGTCGCGTATGACGAGGTACAGTTAACGTAACTTGCGTATCTGTTACTAGCTTTCAGCGCCCCCCCCCCCCCCCTTTTCTTGTGTGTGAGTGCATAGTTTCCACGGTCCTCTTTCTGCATGCATGTGTTTGCACCTAGCGCAGCAGATTTACATTTGCATTGTCGGTCGGGAATATAGCTATTTTATAAGCGCGACTCAGCAGACATTTTGAACTGGGGCTGGTGACCCTGACATGTGCTAATGCGCGCTCCAAAACCTACACCGCGTGCATTGCATGCTAGTTTCGTCTTGACGGCGCGGGCCGCGCTGGAAAATCGCGTTTTCTTGTTTCGCTCTCGCCCTCTTATCGGGACGCGTGTAATAAAGGCTGTCGGAAAAGCTCGCCGTCATCACCCTCTCCGCGCAGTCTCCGGTGGTTGCCGTCGGAGTCGAGTTTCGGTGTGCTAGATGTGTAAACTCTACGCCGCGCTCCCGGCGAATTCGCACAGGTGAGGCGTACCGTGCGCACAAAAGTCGCTTGCAATCGCGCGCGCAATTCCGCCTGCATTTCCGCACTTGCTTTCGCTTGCGCTGCATGCGATCTGTCGCCACACATATGGCCGTGCGATGACAGTTATAAGTTAAACCTGTTTATTTCAGCGCGCTATTCGCGTCATTCTGGGTTGAAACCATTGGAGAGCGCGTTTAATTCACCCAAGAGGTGTAATGACGGCTGGCAATCGTGCGGGAATGTGAACGGAGCGGCCCTTGAGGAAAGTCAGAACTAAGTCAGCGCACGTGCCCAGTGACGTTATAAAGGTGTCATAAATTTTTGTCTTTTTGCACTAAAAATTCTTTCCGGTGGTTCGTGATTGCGCGAGCTGTCAGCATGTAAGGTACACATACATTATTAAAACCAGGTTACTGTCGAGCAGGAGATAAATCCGAGCATGTTCAGAAGATGAACTCTTCATGCCTTCTATTTTACAGCCACTTCACCCAAGAAACATGTAAATTATTTTATATATATGTATATTATACCATACCTTTAACATTCCACACAAAATCTTCTGACAGCCCACATTCTAGCTCACAATCTGCATCTTCCATATGCAGCTGACACAATTATAGAATTAATGATGTAATTTTAGCTCTAAAGAATATACATAAGTTTGCATTTATCTACGGGAAATGCAATATAATACTGCCGTATAGAAATACGTACTCTGAATGATGTGTTATTCTTATCATACGAGTAATAATCAGTTAATATCAATATAGCCCCATCAAGCATTGTTACCTAGTTGACATACAAGCATGACTTGGCAAGAGAGGTAACCCATAACAAAGGCCTTGTCAAAGCACATTGCTGGACCCACATGTTCTCACCTAGCCTAGAAGATAATATTCAGCGGATGACGCATACTGATAAAGCGGCACAGGGAGGGCATTTTCTGGAAAGCTGCATGTACGAGATGATGCGAGGGCCAGGCAGATCGGACAGTTGTTCCACAGTGTGAGTATAATATATGCTTGTAAACGAGAATTAACAATGAAATAGTGACACCTTCAGTACATCAAATCTCCTTTTGAAATCGGGTTCTCGTCGAGGCACAGAAGACGTTGCTTGTTGGCTATGAATTCGAGCCAATAGATTGTTTCATGGTAAATGCAACTGTAGTTTATAAAAGTGGTCATCAATTCACTAATTCACTATGCTCAAGTTGTCCAAGCACAAAAAAGGACTGCAAGTTTAGCTGAAAGAAAACAAGGCGAAAGACAGTGCACAAGAAAAAGGAAAACACAAAATGCTGCTGTTTGTGTCTTTTCTTTTTGTGCTTAGTTATTTGCCTCGTCTTCTTTTAAGCTATGTTGGGCCGACATGTCCAAGCAACTTTAGCTGCAAGTGTATTTAGTTTATAGGATATGCTTAACAAATTATCACTTGAACAAAAATTTGATTGTTGCATTAATATTGCTATAGTTACTTAGTTGCGTGTTAACATTTGATAACTGTGAAAGAGGGCTCACCTGAAAAGTTAAGCATTCTTTTTGTGCACGCACTCGCACACCGCGAAAGAGAAGAGCATATACCTCACTGAAAGGTCATCTACCCTTTCAGAAGCTGTGCTGGGTTAAATTTATCTAATCTTTGTGAAGGTATTGAGAATGTGGCTGTCCACAGCATATGTCACTGACCGTTATTCAAGAATACATTTCAAATCACTGCTATCAAGCCTTATCAGGTTTCACAAGTCTGTGTGGTGTATACAGCTTAATTAAAATTCATCGTAGGATTTATCCCTTTCATCCCAGTTCAATTCCCAGAAAAAGGAAAAAAACAGAGCTTACTCCCGTGCTGTTTATTCTTGTGTTGCAACGTGAGGGCATGTCCTGCTATGCTTCTGGAAAATAGAAATTAAAAAGCACAAAGTGGTTTTTATTTGGAAGTTTTTTTTTTGGGAAAAGGTTGATCAGGTTCCTACTCCCAGCCCTGAGCCATTCCCGGAGAAACGTTTTTCATCGTGCGTAAAAGGCAGTAACGTTTGCTCACAGTGGTGCTTTTGTTGTAAACACATCTAACCATAACGGATGTGCTGCGACCTTAGTGACAAGATTGCAGCTTCATGTTTGCCGCCTGTCGCTCGCTGAAGAAGCCAGGCACGATATCGTAGAGATAGAGATGTGCTGTTGGTCGAGACAGCATTGCGAGAAAACCCACATTGCGCAATCCTCTTGTCTGCTGATGCCAGACGTCAAATAGTGATAAAAAAATCCATGTCAAGTATTTGTTTCGGTCTTATCAGACAATAAAGAAGATATTGGAGAGCTAGCTAGCATCCCTTTGACATTGCCGGTGTTTGTCTGGATGACAGAGCAGGCTGTGACAGGTGTCTTAAGAATTGGATGAAGATTAGTTTTGAATAAATGGGAATATTGTACCGAGGCTAAGAGAAAATGTCAGCCTGCTGCACACAGAATCATGGACCGCCTGCTCCTCAGCCTGTTCTGTCACTTTAGCTTTTTTTTTGGCTAATGTAAATACTATGCGTATTAGGGGTTAAAAGTTACAGTTGTTGTTACCTAAAACATTCTGGTTAGCCGAGCAGGAATGTCGGAGTCTGTGATGACATTTACGAGGCCTAAAATCAGCGATTATTTGGCCTAAAACCAGCAACACAAATGCGTGTTACAGGAAAGTTATTTGTCTGAAACACCGGAGTAGTGCTTGATGCATTTTCAATGCGAAAACGCTTGAGGCCCGTGTGTTTAGATTTAGGTGAACGTTAAAGAACCCAAGGTGGTCGAAATTTCAGGAGCCCTCCACTACGACATCTCTCGTAATCATATGGTGGTTTTGTGACATTAGACCCCAACCATTATTATATCGTGAGTAGTGCTTAACGTCACGAAAATAAGCAAGTGTAATGGGTAGGAGCAATAATGCAAATTATTCTTGACAGAGGCAGTGATGGCTGTGGGTGGTGCTGGCATTTTTTCTTAGCTTATATCAGAGCATAGTTGTTCACCTCTAGGTAGGTCAGCACGTCTTTGAAATGACGGCTGTATGTTTCGTCAGATGCGCACGAAGAAGATGGAATGATAGCCAAGAAGATGTGATGGCAATAGTCCAATCTCCTTCACGTCTGTTTGCTCCAATTTCTGCCCGTCATATGTTAGCTATGGCACTCCCTAGCCCAAGGCAAAGTACTTTTACATTTTCTAGTTCAACGTTTTCACGTGCTTTAATTCTATCTCAGTTTCCAGGAAACAAAGTACCAGTCACTGTAATTGTCTAGGTTGTGATACACCGACTTTGATTAAGTAATTGAACATGCGAGTTTCTTTCTAATAAGATAGATATTCAATTTATTTATTTATTTATTTATTTATTTATTTACACATGCTGTCAGTCCTTTGAGGTGATATGAGAAGAAGGGCAAGAAATATAGAAAAGTAAACAGATACTGCATACATATCCATATACCTATATAAACATACATACTCTCACTAACATACACATAAGACATCAAGATAGTGCTGAATTTTTGTTGTACCAGAACTGAACATATATTCATCCAGAATTTACAGAATATGGGTACTGGTTATAGATAGTTATTATGGAACATCAAGTTGCTAACTAAAACAAATTGCTTCAGTGTAAATATGGTACAATATAAACATGGTGGTATAAACAGTATTCACCAAGCCTATAGGGGAACAACGTTTAAGAGTATGTATGAATGAACATATTTAGAATGGCTTTAAATCCTAATGAAGGCAAACTGTAATGTCTAGGTAGTCACAGTATGTATTCAGTCTGCTGTAGAAGCAGACTTGAGCTACCAAACCTATTACCATCTAAGTTTTACAGAACATATCATACTTATATATGTGTCTGTGACTTTGATATGAAGAGTAATTGCAGTATAAAAACATTTTTTTACCAAAATGAGTTCAGTAAAAAATTTTCAAAATTTTTCACTGTGTAGGGCATCATCCTACAAATATCTGGGCATCCACCTTACACCACGACTTTCCTGGCTAGAACACATCATTTCTGTTTGCGCTAATGCCTCCAAAACATTAAGGTATTTACGCCGAAACCTCCATCATTTATCCATCTAACGTTTGCAAACTGTCTTACCTTACTTTCGTCCGCCTGCAACTTGAATATGCCT